GTTCATTAAGGCATGTAACAAAGATAAAATTCATTAGGTACCTACTATTGCCAGAATTGTGCTGAGAGCTTTACAAATATTTCATTTGACCTTCAGAACAACCCTGGTAAGTAGATAAACTTAAAATGGTACATGATTTCAATGACGTCAGGGGAGATAATAAGCAAATTAATGGACCATGGAAGAAACTGTACTTGTCCAATCTGTGGTATAGGGAGGACTTCATGACCAACAAGAGATAGAGGTCCATAGGAAATAAAATAGGTAATTTTGATTACATAGAAAGTTTTTGTACAAACAAAACCAATGCAGCTAAGGTGAGAAGAAAATCAGGAAACTAGGAGAAAAATCTTTGCAGCAAATTTCTCAGCTAAAAGTCTCATTTTTAAGATATATAGTGAATTGACTCTAATTTGCAAGAATGAGAGTCATTATGTCCCAACTGATCATGAAGAGGCAGCTTTCAGAGGAAGAAATCTAAGTTATCTGTGGCCATATGAAAAAATATTTATAGACATCACTAATAAATGGAGAAATGCAAATTAAAACAACTCTTAAGGTTCCCCCTCATACCTATCAGATTGGCTAAAATGCCAAAAAAGAGAATGACAAATGCTGGAGGGGCTGTGGGAAAATGGGCAGCTTCTGGGAAAGCAGTTTGGAAATAGGTCTGTATCCCAAAGAGATCCAAGAAAAGGGAGTGGGACCTATTTGTACAAAAAATAGTGATAGTTGCCCTTTTTGTGGTGGCAAAGAATTGCAAAGTGAAGGAATGCCCATCAGTTGGAGAATGGCTCAATAAGTTGTAGCATATGATTGTGATGGAACACTATTGTGCTGTAAGAAATGACAAGGGAGGGATGATTTCAGAAAAACCTGGGAAGACTTACAGGAACTGATGCAAAGTGAAGTGAGCAGAACCAGGAGAACATTGTATACAGTAGCAACGTTGTAATGATAATCAGCTGTGAAAGACTTAGGGATTCTGATCATACAATTTATCACAGTTTAAATGACTTTTTTGGTTAGGCAATTGGGGTTAAGTAACTTGCCCAGGGTCACACAGCTAGTAAGTGTCAAGTGTTTGGTCTGAGACTGGATTTGAACTCAGCTCCTCCTGACTCCAGGGCCCGTGCTCTCTCCACTGCGCCACCTAGCTGCCCCTACTCCTTTTACTTCTTGAAGGTTGAGGTTGTTCTAAGGGATGGTTCCTTGGGGGGGAGGAGGAGGAGGACGAGGAGGAGGAGAAGGGGTAGATTAGAAAATGTAGGTCAGGCAAAAACAAAAGGCTCTTGATAGAAAATGCTATCCATTTCCAGATAAAGAACTTTATGGACGGATGGACACAGCACATTGAAGCATTTTCTTCTTTTTTGGATATGGTTAATGGAGGAATTTGTTTTTCATGATTCTACACATTTATAATGGTTTTCCCCTACATGTTTTTGGAGGGTAGGGTGGGGAACGGGAATGATGGAGAAAATTAGAACCTGAAATAAAATAAAATTGAATTTAAAAAATAAAGAGCTTACCAGAGACTCAGACAAATCAGGTGAATGCTCTTGGCCTCATAGCTAAGAGTGTTGTGTTACCTCTGACAAAATGTGAGAGACAGCTGAAGGAATAATTCTTACTGATCAAAACCAAATGAATGAAGGCAGCTAGGTGGCGCGGTGAATAGAGCACTGGCCCTGGATTCAGGAGGACCTGAGTTCAAATTCTACCTCAGACACATGATACTCACTAGCTGTGTGATCGACCCCTGGGCAAGTCACTTAACCCAGATTGCCTCACCAAAAAAAAAAAAAGAATGAGCTTTGGATATGAAACCCTTTTATATTGAACTAGAAAAATCAGCAACAAAAACCACCAGTGAAGATGAGCAATTGATGTCTTCGATAACCAGAAACTCCAAATTGATCCTATCAGTGAAGTTATAAACTTTTTGGTGTATACCCTTGGAGAAGTGGCCATTCCTACCAAACATGCTTACAATATTAATTCTATTTATCACACCTGTGAGTTAGGATTCTCAGTCCTCTTTTCAGTCAAATGTAGAGCAAGAAGCAAACTGGAGGCTGCATTTGATAGGTGGGTATCTCTCTTAAAAATTTGTCTGAGACAAAAACTGTTGTTTGACAAGAACCAGAAAAGAGAGGCTCACCAACTTATTGGACAGTTCTGACAAGTGATTCCACACCTTTAGGATACTATATGTTGAACACCAAATAAAGTTTTCTTTTCTAACTGCTTTATTTCTTCTGTACATATATATGCGTGATAAACTCTAGAATTTCTATTTCCTTTTATATTGAATGGTGTCCTGAGGAGATTTCCACTGAAGCCCGGCCCCATATAAGCTCCATGCCTCCTGCAACTAAGCCAGGTTTAAATCTTTTAGAACCTACTGCTCCTGACTGCCTAATTCCATTCCCTAGTCCACGTGTGATGACAGATGCTGCTTGCCAAAGAAAGTGCCTTTTACTAGAAATGGAAGCTGAGCATCCTGAGATGGAGGGTCTGAAGTTGAAGTATAAATAAACCAAGTCGCTCCAAAAGGCAGCTGTGACCCGGCTCCCTTTCTAGTACCTATCCCTAGGCTGCTTTTCTCATTCCTGGAATAGGTTGCTGCTGTGGGTCATGACCCCTTTATTAATATAGATCAGGAATGTTCATGCAGCATAGCCAGGATGTTAAGGGATGACATTGCAGGGACTGGTGGGCCACTGGTAATGTACCGATGATGAATGACTTCGTAGACCTTGAGGGAGCCCTGCTGGTGGCATTTTTGGTGGGTGGCCCTGACGGTGAACTGAGGCTGCAGCTCTTGCTCTCCGCCCTCCCCCACCTCGCAGTGATGAGCTGATGGGGCTGGCCCACCAATTCCATCCATCTTGAGCAGAATCCTGCCCCATCGTCAAGCCCTTTTCCATCTAGTCTGTGCCATTTGGGACCATTTTGGTCGACCCCTCGAGTTCCATGTTGGGATGAGGTGTCAGGCCTTGGTGGAGGGGCGGTCGCAAGCTGGAGAGAAGAATGACTGGATTCTGTCTGGCAGCGTAAGTTCAGGGTTAGCTGGTAGGAGGCAGAAGCTGCTCAAAACAGTCATTGGAGTCCTAATTATGGGTTGTAAATGCTTACACATCCATTTCAGTTAATATTTAGCTTTGGAGAGCTAAATCTGGCAAATGGCAGTACAGGATATTGAAGACCTGGGTGGGTCTTGGAGAATTATAGACAAGGAATGATTGGAACAACTCTCTGATCTCCCTCCATAGGAGTACTCTGTTCCATGGTACAGATCACAGTCCATGCACAACTTATCCTGCCAGACTTTGGGCCTTGTTGATCCACACGTCTTTTACTTTATGGGGCCAGGGTGGTAGTGGGAGAAAGCATTGTAAGTTGTGGTGCTGGCCCCAGAAAGCCTCACAGGTTATAAGTTAGAAATATAAACAAATAGCTGTGTGTAGGGGTGCAAGTCAAGATCAGTACTGCAAAGGGAAGTGTAATCTTTGGACAAATTATATCTGATTTATTTGTTTTTCTTTTTTGGTTTGGGTTTTGTTGTTTTTTTTTTTTTGGCTAGGCAATGGGGTTAAGTGACTTGACCAGGATCACACAGCTAGTAAGTGTCAAGTGTCTGAGGCCATATTTGAACTCAGGTCCTCCTGACTCCAGGGCCAGGACTTTATCTACTGCGCCACCTAGCTGCCCCGGGAAGTGTAATCGGTGCCAAATTTGGTGCCACATTCAAATAGAAGTAGGCCATTTGCCCTCCGTAGGACGCCTGTGTGCAGGGCTGCATGTTGACTTAGAAAACTATCATTCTCACTTGTATTGTATTTTTATCGATTTTGTGAACTATTTCTCAGTTCCATTCGAGGCTGTTACAGTCTTGTGGGCCCTCCCAGTCTTTGCCACCTCTGCTGTAAGGGATGGATGAGATCACGGGATTCAGCATTTCTAGAGACACATGTGGCAGACTGGTCCGGACTGCCTTCCAGACAAAGGAACCTGTTTTCTGTTCCCTTCCGCCCTAGAAGCCTGCCCTTCACTGTCCTCACGCCATCCCTACCACCGCCGTCTTCTTCATCAGCATCACGGCCAGCATTTCTGTAGTGCTTCCAAGTTTGCGGAGGTGTTACAATTAGCATCTCATTTGCTCCTCTCAACAACCCTGGAAGGAAAGTATTATCCCCATTTTATAGATGAGGAAACTGAGGCAGACAGGGCTTCAGTTATTTTGCTAGGGTCTCACAAGCTCGTTAGTGTCTGAGGCTGGATTTGAATTCAGGTCTTTGTGACTCATTTCTTAGCTAGGACCCTTCAAGTCTGAATTCAGGGCCCCCTCTTCTGTTAGCCTCCTTGTTAACATCTTCTCGGTCCTCCAAATACCTTATAATTATTTATCTGTGTAAATCTTCCAGGTCAAAAAGGAAGCTCCGTGAGAGTGGGGACTGTTTGTGACTTTGTATTTCTGGGGTCTAGCTCAGTGCCATGTACATCTTTGGTGCTTAATAGATGCCTGGGTTTTTTTTGTGAGGCATTTGGAGTTAAGTGACTTGCCCAAAGTCACATAGCTAGGAAGTGTGATGATTGAACTCGGGTCCTGCTGACTCCAGGGCCAGTGCTGTATCCACTGCACCACCTAGCTCTCCTGGGAGCAGTGAGTATTGGATACTTGGAAGACGGGCGCTCTCATACTTCCCGGCTTCTAAGTGACCTCGTACATGTTTCCTTGCTTCTTGGCCTCGGGTCCTTTCCTGTAGAATTTGCAGTTTGGGCTCTCCATCCTTCCTTTGATCTTAATAAAATGAATTTGGGTGCTTATTGCATTGACTTGATACTCTTGACAAAGAGATGAGATCTGCAAAGTAGAATTCCCAGATATTTGACTTTTTGTCTTTGAACGGATGATTTCAGCAAACATGAAATGGCCAGAGTGGAGAGAAAAGGGGCGCTGTCCCCACAAGCTGAGATGTTCTTTCCATCTGCAGAAATGAAGCCGTTGTGATTTCTGGAAAGAAGCTGGCCCAGCAGATCAGGCAGGAGGCCCGGCAGGAAGTGGAGCAGTGGGTCGCCTTGGGTAACAAGAGGCCCCACCTGAGCGTCGTCCTGGTGGGAGAAAACCCTGCCAGCCACTCCTATGTCTTGAACAAGACCAAGGCTGCGGCAGATGTGGGTAGGTTCTGTCTCTGACAATCTCCTCTCAAGACTGACATGTGATGCTTTGTTAGCCACACTTCTGACAGGGGGAGGCCTCCTCTGGGCCTTCCTGCTCTGCTGTCCACAGTTCTTGGCTTTGCCAGGACCTCCTCTAAATTGGAAGGTTGGGGATGATTACACACTGGGGGTATGCATTAGGTGACGTCTATAAGAATCTATAATGAACAAGTATTTATTAAGTACCTACTATGTACCAGGCCAAGTGCTGGGTTTGCTAAGATTAAAGTGAAGCAGTGTCTGCCTTTGGGGAGCTTAGCTCCCCAGGGGAGACAACATGGATCCATAGTGGTAGGCTTGCAAAGCAACATAGGAGGTGACCATGGTGGGGAAAGCATGAGGTAGAGGGGAAGGGATCCAGGAAAGGCCTGCAGGAGGGAGGGCTTGAGGGTGAGTCTTGAAGGCAATAAGTGTGTGTAGGGGGTGCGGGGACAGGATGGGACTGGGTCATCTAGGGGGTAGAGGAATGGAGATGGAGTGGACAAGGGAGGGCAGAAGGCCCGAGGCTTGGCCACAGACACTGTGCTGTGAGGTTGGAAAGGGAGGAGGGCACCACCTGGTGAAGAGCTTTAAAGGCCAAGAGAGGAAGGAATGTCTCTTTGATTCCTGAAGGAGGTAAGAGGGAGCCCCTGGAGTGTGAGCAGGAGGAGGCTGGGGAGTGCCGGAGTGAAAGAAAATCCCTTTGGCAGCTGAGTGGAGGGAGACGACCGATGAGGAGGTTACCACAGTTGTCCTGCTGTGACATAATGAGTTCCTGTGGTAGCTCTGGGTGTGGGTGTGTGAAGGTGTCATGTGGGACGGTGTCATGGCAGTAGAAATAAGACTTGGCCACTGTTTGTATATGAAAAGGGCGAGTGAGTGAGCAGAGGAAGTGAACGGGTGAGAGGATGGCTGACAGGATTTAGGAGGGCAGGGGTTCACTCAGACCAGGGATTTGGTGTCATTGGGATGGAATTATTGGAAAGTACCTGGTTCCTTGAATGGAGATCTGATGCCTCCCATTTCCTGATCACGTTGTGAGAGTGCCTTCCACAGAAGAGGTAGGTATTACAGCTAATTAGGAAACAGACATGAAGGGATTGTGCTGAGGCTGTCATTGCACAGCTGGTAAACAAATGCCAGATTTGGGGTGCAACCGGGTGTCTGCAAATCTAGCACCATTCTCCCTTCCCTCTCAGAGGCGGCGAAGAGATACTGGACAGGTTTCACATCTTCTGAAATGCAGTCCCCTATGTGTTTGAATTATGCATGTGTGTGTGTGTGATGTTTACGTAGAGACACGGGTGACCTTGGCCGTGTCATGAGACGTGGTGGTGGTGGGGTTAGCTCAGTGTTTGGTATTTGTGGCGAAAGATTATCAGACAGATTAAGGAGCCAGAAGGAGCCTTGGAGGAGGAGTATGTAGAGGGAGCCTTTTGTCCTGACTTTTCTGCTGACCAGTCCTTGGATCAGGCCGTTGAATCTCTGGGCCTCAGTTTCCTTGCCTGTAACATGGGAGAGTTTTCCATTAGATCTCTGAGTACTGACCTCCCCTGAAGCTGCGGGTGATGAGATTTCTTGCCGTGTTCATTCAAGGGTCTGTCTTCTGTCACTGGGGCTCCCTGCCCACTCTGGACGCTAGTTGGACATTGCATGTGGGAGGATGTCTAAGGATCAGCAGTTACATGGCAGTGATTGCGTGGCCTTCCGGGCCGTGGCCTTCCTGACCATGGAGGGCTTGTTGTTACGGGCAGTTCTTTGAGTTCTTCATGCAGGCACATCCCAAGCGCTGTCTGGGAGGAGAGCAGCAAGGCCGTTGGGCTTCACATTCATTTGTTTGTTCGTTTGAATCAAACAGGAATCAGCAGCGAAACAATTTTGAAGCCTGCCTCCATTTCAGAGGAAGAGCTGCTGGATTTGATCAGCAAGCTCAACGATGATGACAGTGTGGACGGCCTCCTGGTCCAGCTCCCTCTTCCTGGTGAGTGTGGACCTTGGTGCCTTGTAGAGGCTTTGTAGGCAGCCCGGGGTGCCACAGAGCACGGGGCCCCCAGGCCTGGAGTCAGGAGGACCCGCCTTCAGGTCTGGCCTCAGGCCCTGGCCAAGTCACTTTGTCTCTCTTTGCTTCAGTTTTGTCATCTGCAAAATGGGGATAATGATAGCACCTGCTTCCTAGGGTTATTGTGAGTATCAAATCAGATACTATTTGTAAGTGCCTAGCACACCACACCTGGCACAAGGTGCTTATTTCTTCCCTTCCTTCCCAGAGAAAGACTTAGTTTTCGATTTGCTTTGAGGCACAGTGGGCAGATGTACAAGACTTCACCTGTGTGAGTTCCTGAGACGGCGCGGAGGAAACTTCCCTGCCCCCGCTGCTCCTGGGCCAGCCTCACCAGCAGCCCTGTCCTTCAGATACTGGCCGGCCTACGAGGGCTGGCCTTGAATGAGGGAGCAAAAAGAGACAACACCCTGGATCCCAATAATAATGATTGGCTATCAATAAAATAGAGAAAGAATCCCTGCTCTGTAGTCAGATCTTGAGGGAGTCCCTAGCCAGCCCTTCATTGCGTCCCTGGCCATGTGCGTCATTGGTGGACGGTTAGAATGTAGCATTCGGCTTCAAGCGGACTCCTGGATATCGGTCAGTGCTATTGTGCCCCTAGCCCGGGTGTCTGAGCTCTGTGCCGTGGTCTGCTGGTGTGGATCAGCATCCCCACATCAGGGAGGCCCAAAGCCAGGAGCTTCTTTCCTTGAGGCTGAGGGAGCGCTGGGGCTTTAAGAAGCTCTGCTCGAGATCACACTCGATCTTGCAGCGTTATTGCAGAGGGAGCAAACTGCTCATATGGACGCTTTCTAACTTTCAGGGTTGTACAGAGGTTGTTTCTTTGATGTTATGCTTTTAAGATGTTTGGTCTTTTTTCCCTCTGGCTAAAAGGTGATTTTGTACTGCCCCTGAGTGTGTGTTGTGGTGTTTGACCACACATCCTCATTCATGCTCAGGCTGTGGCTGTGTGCTCCACTCACCCCAGCCTTTTGGGTGGAGGAATATGGAGCCCCCAAATGGCAGAGCTCCACTCCTCCTACCTGGGGCTGCTGTCCCATTTCAGCCTTCGCAGAATGTCTAAACCTGTTGTCTTACTTAATCCTCACAGTCCTGTGAGAGAAGTCCTCTAGGGGCATTTGTCTGGTTTGTAGCTGAGGCTTAGTGAGGGTAAGTGAAGGTATTCAAGGTCAAAGCTGGGAATTCAATCCATTGGCTAAGCACTGATGGCGTTAAACTCGGTATGTTTGTGGAATAACACCAACTAGCATTTATCTGGTACTTTAAGGTTTGCCAAGTGCTTTACGAATGTTATCTCATTTTATCCTGACAATAACCCTTCGAGGTAAAAGTGCTGTTATTATTATTATCGTTATTGTTATCATCATCCTCCCCATCTTAGAAAAGAGAAAGCTGAAGCTAAGTAGTTAAGTGACTTGTTTAGAGTCACACGGCTAGTAAACTATCTGAGGCTGGATTTGAACTCAGGTCTTCCTGACTCTGGGCCTAGTGCTCTGTGTACTGTGGCACCCCCTAGCGTCCCAGCTGTCTCCCCTGGGGAGAGAACAGTGAGGGGCAGGTGAGAAATTCCAGGGAGGGGAGCTGGGAATCTTGTTTGTAGGAAGGTTGAAGAAGTGACTGGGTGGGCTAGGAGACCAGAAGCAGAGGTGGGGCTCTGTGGGGATTGGCCCAGGTTCTAGCTCAAGAAAGAGGTCAAAGGGAACTTGGTTTTTCTCTGTGGGTTAGCCTAGCCCAGATTATCACTCATTTACAAACATTATTAATGTGATAAGCATTTGCAGAGAATGCTTCTGACCCACAGAATGAATTCCTCTTGCTGATCAGGAAAACCCTCTTTGCAGCATTATTTTTAACTCATGTTGTGTAGTCATCGTGAAACAAAGACATTTTTCCACGGTGGTAAAATAAACGCACATGCTCGTGAGCGTGGTTTTTGACTTGCTCATGGAGGTGAGCAGTAGTGATGGCACCATCCCTGGGGGAAGATCGTCTTCTCCAAAAGCCAAGGCGACTCCCGCCTTTTGATTTAGTCACCAAGTAGTTGTGATAAGTGTCCCTCTAGATGTAGTCACTCATTGTGACTTATCGGGAGGTCACCAATCCCTGTTTGGCTTAGGTCCTTCCTTTGAAGTTACAAGGTTTCAGTCCTGACCGGCCTCCCTCTGGCTGGCCTGGTGGTTCAGGCTCAGAACAGGAAGGAGATTAACATTTAACAGAAGACCACCAACAACGTGGAAGGGGTGTTTGATGGGAGGCAGCCTTGATTCTGGTGACCGCAGCCTCTGGCACCGGAGGGCCTGGTCAGGAAGGCGGTCAGACACAGGGCTCTTGACAAACAGGCTGCACTCCTCGTGTGCGTGGCTTTTGGGACTTTGGTGACCGAGACACTGTATCGTCAGTTTGAGCCGTCGTGTCCCGGACGGTGTCGTTGCTGTTTTATGAAACGACTCACCTAGCTTACGTGGAGGGGATGTTAGTAGACATAGCAAAGCTGTCCTTGCTCACGTGAAGTTGATGTACTTCTGCCATGCCAAGGACACAGGATAATGTTAATCGTCAGTTTTTATAATCCAGAGGAGGCCTTTGTTCTGTAGCCTTCTTTGAAAATGGGTCTGCGTGAGTGCCTTACCCTCCCTTTTCCTTCCCAGAGCACATCGATGAGAGAAAGGTGTGCAATGCTGTGGCTCCAGATAAAGACGTGGATGGATTTCACGTGATCAATGTGGGGCGCATGTGCCTGGACCAGTACTCCATGCTCCCTGCGACGCCCTGGGGGGTGTGGGAGATCATCAAGCGGACAGGCATTCCCACTCTGGGCAAGAATGTGGTTGTGGCCGGCAGGTCCAAGAACGTTGGCATGCCCATAGCAATGTTGCTGCATACAGATGGCAGGCATGAACGTCCTGGAGGTGGGCACTTTGTTTTTATCTGTAAGATGCCCCATCGGGCCTGTGATCTGTTAGGGGAGGCGTTCCTGATGTGTTCACTGCTTGGTAGGGTTACTGCATTTGTGTTCCTTGGGATTACAGTGTCCCTTGTTCCATTAATGACCTGACTGGTGCTCCTGAGGCAATGTACCTAGTATGGTGGGAAGGGGGCGGTGGCCTGGATTTGAGGCTTCCTCTGAAGTTCCTTGGGCAAAGACCCTCTCTGAGCCTTAAAGGCACACGCCATGAAGTGGTCTGAGAATGTCAGTTCTGATATCTCAACCTTCCAGTTTCTGTGGAAACAGCCCAGAAATTAGTTTACCTGCAGCTCAGTACCATCATTTGCTTTTTAAAGGGGGGGAGGATGCCTGGTGGATGTGACCATTCCAGATGAGAGACAGCTCCCAAATGGTCACCAGAGAGCCAGCTCAATGTTTGGGTTCTTCCTCAGGGGACGCCACGGTGACGATATCTCACCGTTACACGCCCAAGGAGCAGCTGAAGAAGCACACGATTCTTGCGGATATTGTGGTATCTGCCGCCGGTGAGTTGTGGGATGCAGACAGCATCTGGGTTTTCGGGACAGTCGGGATTCTGGCTCTGCTCGTACGGTCCGTGGGGCTCTCATGTGTAAAGGGAGCGGGTTGGACAAGGAGCCTGTGCTGTCCCTTCCGGACTTAGATTCTGTGAGAAAGAAGCCCCTTCTGTGCCTGCTGTGGATCGGGTGACGTCAGGCCCAGAAACAGGTTTGAAAAGAGCCATCGCTGTCTGTGCAGAGCCTTTCCTCAAGCAGAAGCTCTCTTCACGAAAGTCGGTTAGGCCAAATGTGAGGGATTTCAGGGGCTGGATGGTTCGTACTGCCAGGTCAAGTATTGATCTAGTGAGGGAGATGCTGTGACCTTGTGAGTAATATGACGCATGCTGCAGGGGCAGTCTTGTGGTGGGGGGCACACTTGGGGTGGGATTATCATCCCCTGGTATGCCGGGAACCCTGTTCAGCATCTCTCTGGTCCTATCTAGTAGAGTCGGAAATCTTTTGGTTTCTTTAAAATACTGAAGTGTGCACTGGCTAGAGTATTAACTCTGACTTGTTGCAATTAGACCAGCACCTAGGCAGTACCATCGTCCTGGAGTTTGGGGAGTGAAGAGAGAAATGAGGGAGTTAGGAAGGTGGACTGTGTAGGCTGGGAGATGCTGAGGAGCTGGAAAGTTGCTTCAGCCTGGGCAGGGCAGGACAGGAGAGGGGAAGACGTGGCAGGATGTGGCAGAGAGGGCTAGAAGGGGAGGGAGCTGGACAGGGGAGGCCTGAGCTAGAGGCCGAGTCTTCTGAAGGCTTTGGCTCTCGCCTGTCTCCATGGGGAAGAGAGGAAGATGCTGAGGTCCTGAGGGGCTCAGATCCTCTGAAAAGGTTGTCTTTATGCTCCCTAGAATGAGGCAGAGTCAAGCTCTTGGGGTGAAAGGTCCCTGAATCAGAGGCCAGAGGTGGTCCAGGTGGTATTGGGTTCAGTAAAACGTCTTGGCAATGTTGTTTCTTTCACTCTGCTTGACACCTCCCCACTTTGTCCAGGAATCTTAAGTACAGAACCTGATGCTATGGACAGGTCTGGAGAGATGTCATTTTGCCTTCTTCTGTTCTAGGCATCCCTAATCTAATCACAGCAGACATGATCAAGGAAGGTGCTGCTGTCATCGATGTGGGGATAAATCGAATCCACGATCCCATCACTGCCAAGCCCAAATTAGTGGGAGATGTGGATTTTGAAGGTAAGTGACAGAGCGGTGCCTGTACCTTCAGAGACAGAGAGTTTTTTACGTGATGGGAGCTGTGGTTTCCCCAATGCTTAGGCCACTTCCCTTAGGTGCCTCTGCTTTCTCTCCTTTCACTCTTCTTAACCCCTTTAATCTGCCCTTCAGCCTTAACTTATTGTTCCACTTCAGTTACCGATGATCTCCTAGTTGCCAGACCCAGAGGCCTTTTCTCAATCCTCATTCTCCTTGACCTCTCTGTAGCCTTTGACACTGTCGGTCACTCTCCTCCTTGTGCCTGTCTTCTAAGCTTTCAGGACACCTCTCTCTCCTGGTTCTCCCCTACCCTCTCTGACCACTCCTCTTCAGTCTCCTTTGCAGGGTCTTCCTCCAGATTATGCCCTCAGTAACCACAGGTGTCCCTCGGGGCTCTGGCCTGGGTCCTGGTTTCTTCTCCCTCAGTGCTACTTCCCTTGGTGACCTCCTCAGCTCCCATGGATTTAATGACCATCTCTGTGCTGCAGATTCTCAAATCTCCCTGTCTGCCCTAACTTCTCCGCTGACCTCCCATCTTTCATGTCCGTCTGCGTTTCAGACGTCTTGAACTGGATGTCCAGTAGACATCTTGAATTCAATATGTCCAAAACTGAACTCATGACCTTTTACCCAAATCCTCCCCTCCTCCTACCTTTCCCTACTACTGTGGAGGGAAACGCCATCCTCTCATCCCTCAGGCTCCCAACCTATAAGTCATCCTGGACTCCTCACGGTCTCTCACGCCCCATGTCCGACAGGGTGCCCCAGGCCTGTCGATTTCATCTCCCAAGCATCTCTCAAATATGCCCCTTCTCTCCTCTGACCCTGTCCCACCCTGGTGCAGATCCCCATCAACTCCCATCGGGACAAGTACAATATCTGCTGGGACTCTGCCTGCCTCCAGCCTCTTCCCATTCCAGTCCATCCTCGCCATTCCACCACCAAAGTGATTTTCTTAAAGCCCAGGGCCGATTGTGTCCCTCCCCTACTCAGTCAACTCCAGTGGCTCCCTATTGCCTCCAGGAACACATACAAAATGCTCTGCTTGGCCTTCAGAGCCCATCCTGACGCAGCCCCTCCCCCTTTGTCAGGCTTCCTACACCTTCCTTGAGTCCAGTGAGCCCGGCCTTTGTGTTCAGCCACAAACAGAGCACATGTCTCTAGACTCTGGCATTCTCTCTGGGGGTGCTCCATCCCAGATCACTCTTCCTCCTCTCCTCCCTGGTTCTCTTGAAGCCCCCACTAAAACACAGTTGGAACGTCTTCTACTGTGAGATGTTCCAACCCCTTATGTCTGGTGACTTCTCTCTTAACCATTTCCTATTTCTCCTTTCCATGGCGTGTTTGTACACACTTGTTTACATCTTGTCTCCTCCATTACACCGGCAGCTGCTGGAGGGCCAGCAGTCGTTTGCATTTTGCTTAGCACAGTGCCTGGCACACAGTAGGCCATAACAAATGCTGCTTGACTGATGGGTACGGCTCGTCCCCACCTTCTCATTCTGCCCGTGTCCTTGTGTGACTCCTCGGCTCCTGTCTGGCCTCCCCAAGGCCTTGCTCTCTTGACCCAGGATTTCTTCTCTTGGGTTTCCAGAGGGATCCTTGCATGCACTTGGCCATCGGCCATGCAGATGCTACAGGCTGTTTTTCAGGGGTGATTGGTGACCATCTAGGAAAGGAGCCCAGGCTCTCAGAGCTGGTCAGACTGAGTCATGGCCTGCTTCCCAGGCTCACTTAATGGGTAGCACAGGAGCATTCTATAGCTGGTCTGCTCAGATTTTGCAGCACACATGCTCATTCTCCTGGAAAAGATGAAGAGACACAGGCTGGAGGATTGTATTGTTAAATGCCTTTAGAGTGGATGGAGTGGTTGCACCCACGGGTGCCCTGGCAGCTTGGTAGGCATCTCTGCTGTGTAACAGAATCTATGCCTTATTTGAGGGCAGCTCTGCTGTGTAACAGAATCTGTGTCTTATCTGAGGGCAGAGATGGCAGGCATACTTATGGGCAGAGGACACAAAGCTGGGAGGGACCATTAAGGATGTATAAAGGATCGGGGTGGGTTTGAGCTCTGGGCGGAATTGAACAGACAGAATTTAATAGGGTTTAGAAAGTGACCTTCACATGTACACGACGGGGGACAACAGAGAGGGCAAGATGAGAGCTGCCCCCAGAATGAGGAAGGCCTCCCTGGCAGTGGCTGGGTGGCCCCAAGCCAGTCCCTTCACCTCTCGGGGCCCTAGGTGACTCTGAAGACCAGAAGCCCCAGAGAAGGTGTGGGCAGCTCTGCCTGGTGGGACACGGGAGGCCCCTCAATGGGCTGCAGAAGTGGGTCCAATCCAAAAAGGAAAGACTCAGATTCTTCTTGGTGAGATTGGATGCAGACATTCTTTGCACTCAAGAGTTCAGCCTTTGATTCTGTCTTCATGGATTTCTTATTTATGGAAAAGCCGCTCAGTTTCCTGAGCTCAGAATCGTTTTTTATCATCTCCTCTGGGAGACCCCCTGGCTTGGTTAAGCAGTGTCCTGCTCACCTTGATTGTGGAAGGGACTTCATTCCATCTTCTTCCAGTTAGTGCACAGTGGGAGCTTCTATATTCAAGCCTTAGGTCCATTCTGAGTGTATTGAGCAGCACATTGGTCTCAGGCTCACTGCTGCCCCCTGCTGTTCCTGGCAAGTTGCACAAAGGGTGTTCTTGGGCAGCTCTGGTTTTCAGGGGCTCTTGTTTCTGGCTTTTCTAGTCTGTCGCACTGATGGATTTTTCTTTTTTCAACCGGTGCCATCCAGATCTTCCTCATGCCCAGATCCTACCTCCCTTACGCACCCTTCTCTGATGGTCCCAGGCCCCTGCTCCCCACTAGGCTAGGAGGACCCTCCTCTTCCTCAGATTACTTGGCACAGGTCTTGCCATGGGCATGTTTTATTCTCCCAAGAAAATGTAAGGCATTTTTATCTTTTGTGTCTCCATGTGCAGCAGAGGGCTTTGTGCACACATAGAGTGCTTAATCCACATTTGTGGGAATTGAGTCTTCAGGCTCCTGAACAGTGGGGATGAGACTTATTTTATGTTTGAAATTGAAAATGAGAAGCAGCTGGTGGCTTAACGAACAGAGCGCTGGGCCTGGACTCAGGAAAACCTGAGTTCAAATCCAGCCTCAGACACTTGCTAGCTGGGTGACCCTGAGCAAGTCACTTAACCTGTTTGCCTTAGTTTTCTCAAGTGTGAAATGGGAATGATAATAATACTTAACTCCCAGGATAGTTGTGAGAATCAAAGAGATGCTATTTCCTAAAAAAAAAACCATGAAAATGAGCGTGTCGGGTCGATGGTGGGGTCTACTGGGCTTTCTTGACCCGATCCTGAAGTAGCCTGGCTTTCTTTGTGCCCTGCAGAAGTCAAGAAGAAAGCCAGCTACATCACTCAGGTCTCTGGGGGCGTGGGTCCCATGACGGTTGCCATGCTGATGAAGAACACCATCATTGCTGCAAAGAAGCTGTTGAAGCCTGAGGAGCGGGAAGTGAAGGCCAAACAGTTTGCGGCAGCCACCTCTTAATGGAGATCTCTTTATTTAAAAAAAAAACCACAAAAAACATTCCAAGTAATTTAAAAAAAAAAGAAGCAAAACAGGCCGATAGAAATGCAATATTTTAATTTATTCTACTGAGATAATGTTCTGATATTTGTTCGCAGTCAGGCTATTTATTGAAAGCGTTAGTGTAGGCAGCTGTGTGTGCTCACAGAGACCCGTGTCACCCCTTCTGAGATGGCTGCAGGGTGGTGCTGGCTCCTGCAGCCTTGCCCAGGGAAAATGGAGCTTGTCGCATTGGGCGCTCCTAGCAACTGAGGCCATTGACAGTTAAAACCCATAAGGCACAGGACCCCGAATCACATGGAGCCAGAAGAGACTTGACGGGCCGTTGAGTCGGAGTGACTGCATTATTGTGGTGACTTGATAAAGTCAGGTTGCCTTACAATATTATCCTCCTGAACTCATCCGTGGTCCCCTAAAGGAAGTCTAGAGGTTAGTCTCAGTTGGCTAGACTCAGTAGTTCAGATGGAAGGAAAAGGGAACCCACCATGTAATCTGGAACACGGGCAGGGGAACATCTTAGCTAGGCCCTCCGCACCCCAAGAAATAGTAGTCTGCTGGTTCCCATAAATGCCACCCACAGCTGTGCCAGTCTGGAGCAAAGGTGGGCGCTCTTTCAGGCCAAAGCCCTTGGTGGGGCGGAATGAGGCTCAGAAGTGTCGTCACTCAGGAGCTGGCCAACAGGAAATGGCTGTTTTTGAAACAGGCCCTGCCTGTCCTCTTCTTGTGGGGTGTGGGGGAGTTAGTGGCCTGGAACTGATTACAAAGAACTTCGTGTTTGACTTCAAGGTTGTGATTCAAATTATACACATTGGCTGTAACAGAAAGAACGCAGACCTGAAAGGAGCTCTGACTTGGGGACATTTTGTGCTCTGGGGGATGCCAGGAGTTTATTTTGGGCACATCCCCCTCAGACTTGTGGGAAGGGGCTGGGGGTGGGGCCTTGGCTGGCGCAGGCCTTCAAGATCCCCAGCACTCTCCTGATAACCAAAGAATTTGCAGTGGCTGCTGCTTCCTTTCCACTCAGCTCCCTGTTGCCTTTCTGGAAAGTCTTTGAAAGCTTGCAGTGCTTACCAAATTACCCAACCAGATTTTTGATTAAAGCAGTTTTCTAAAAAAATGAAAAACGCTGTGTAGTGTGGTCTCTTCTGGTAGAACGCAGGCACCTTCGTGGAGTTGGGGGTACCTCCTCACCCAGCCTGATGGGGCCTTGTTGGGGCAAGTGTTGGGACCCTTTGGCGAAGCCCAGCCGTGTCAGACTCTGACGCAAAACCCTAGGGCGTAAGGCTCCCTGCATCTCCGACACGGAGTCCTGAAGACTCGGGCCTGAGCAGACTCAGTGACTCACAGACTGAAGCTTCCGGGGCAGTGCTGCACATTTCTATAGAGGAAGCTTGTTCTCCAGTGATGGTGGGTCAGAATCTAAGGGCTGCAGCATTTAGAGAGTTACGGCAGCACTCTGGTGGTGGCCGATTTGGCCAAGGCCTCCGAGGTCAAGATGCAGAGAGTGTCTTTTAAACATTAATTTGAGTTGCTTTGTTATGTGACGTTTAACTCGAACTTTTTCTAAGGAGGTGTAATCAGTCTGGTGAAATGACTGGTGTTTGGAGGCTTGTTCGCAGGAGTAACAATGGGAGTGGCAGCTTGCGTTGTGGGGAGGGTAGATATCAGCCCTGAAGGGCATTCTGTTGTCCCTTCTGCCGCACGGTGGGTTCTGTGGGGGCCATTGGTGCTCAGCGGCCGCCAGTGTCATGACAGCTAAATGATGCTGAGAGCCTTGGGCCTGGAATCAGGAAGACCAGAGTTCAAACCAGTCTCAGACACTTACTAGCTGGGTATGTTATTTAACTTTTGCCTCCATTTCTGCCACTGTAAAATTGGGATCATAAGCACTTCTGGGCTTGTGACATCAAATGAGATAGCTGTAAAGTGCCTAGCACAGTGCCTGGTTTCCTAGTACTTAGCTTCCTCGGTATTCCCCATCTCCCAAGGGGGACATGAGTCTTTGTTGACACTTAGGAGGTGTGAGGATTTTATTTTGGGGGACTAGGAGTAAATACTTGCAAGCCGGTTATGAGACCTTGAAAACGCCGGAGCAAAAGGAACAGAATTTCCTTGTTTATTGGATTGTTGGTAACGTGACGTATAAAATATTTACTGGCTTCCATGTGGTAGGTGGTGCCAACTAGCAATTTCTGAAAACCTTAAGACACCATTGAAATCAGGTCATTTCCATATATGTACAAAATATAAACAATTACCATGAAAATTACAGCTATTGGTTTGTGAAAAGGAAGATTAAGAATGCTGTTGTCTCAGCTTAGCTGATTCACCGACCAAGCAGGCTCATTTCTGAGCATTTTGGATTTCTGTATTTCAGATGCAAGTGCTGTGAGAAAACAGTCCAAGTTTAGAAAACAAACAAAAACACCAACTTTTTTTTTTAAGTTTAGCCCCCTAGCTATCATAGTATTGGTTATAAAGGAAGAAAACATGCCTGTGATCCCTGTGTGTGTGTGTGTGTGTGTGGTGGGGTCAGGGGGAAGTGCCTCTAAGGCCATTTGGCTTAAGTAGAAATCATCTGGCTTGTATGTCTTCATGTGAATGATTACAGCGACACTGGAACCAAAATGGCCTGGGTTTTTTGAGCTCTAGACCCATGGCTCTTTTTGTATGTGGAGGCAAGGCTTGAAATGCATATGCATGATGACACATGTCCAATCCTGTTTGCCAAGTAAAGTAGATTTGGGCTAGATCATAAAGTTCTAATGGCTGGTATTTAATATTGTTAATTCAGCAATGAGCCATGCAGAAAAATTGTTCTTCCAAGATGTAACACTAGAATACCTGGCTGAACTAAAATTAACTCTCACACATTGACGTGAGCCGTGCGCAGAAAGTGGGCCACTTTCCAGTTGACAGATAGGGACGTGCCCAAATGTAGGCATAGTTGAAGAATTCAAAACACACAGTACTTACTGTTCACATAAAAGAGGGTTTTTGTTTGTGTTTTTCATTTGAAATAGTGAGTTCAATGAGTTCTAAAACTATAAGTTAATAAATGCCAGTTTTTCTTAACAGTCAATTCCAAATTGTTCCACCAACAAATGGAACTCATTTTTCCAAAGGGAGAGGAAAGGCAGAGTCATACAGTGTCCAACCAACAGTGTTGGTCTTGCAGTCAAGAAACCAGGTTTGAATCCCGCCTCTGCCATTTGACAAGGCATCTATGACCATGCCAAAGCCAGCTTCTCCATCTGGGCAATGGGAATGGTAAATGCAGATGTGATCTACCTCTCAAAGCTGTGAGAATTCAGTGAGATGAAAGACAGAAAGCGGAGCCTTCCAAATGCTACATCAAATGCCAACTGTGATTATTGCTACCAAACTTGATCGAGGCACGTGGAGCCACGAATCCTTGTTTGTAGACCTGCTCGTGTTGTAGACAGACCTCTTCTAGGAGGAACCTTAGCTAGGATGAGTGAATGAGGGAGAGGCACACAGAAAGTCTAACCTTGGTCTCTTAGCTAAGCTCTTAACAGAGTTTTTACCTATTGGGTTTTGCCCTCTTGTCTTTTAAAGAGGAGTTGGCTATTTCCTCCTCTATCCTAGCTATCATCTTAGGAAGCAACTTCCTTGTTCCGCCATTCTTTGCCTACACCACGTGAATTCCAACACTTTTGGTACATCAAAAGGCTGGCCTTCTTGACTGTCACTTGGGACTAAGACATGAGACTACTTTATGTCTTCACTGTATCAACTAGCTTGTGTCTTTCCCCAGAGCAGGGACAGGGTCTTTCTTGGGGGTCTAAAAAATGTGTAGAGCCTGGGACGTTGTGTATTGAATAGCAGGGCTTAGTGAGGCAGTAAGCTGACCTGGATGTTAAGGCCTATTGCTTCCCTTCATAGCTGCTTGGTATGTTGGGTGGGTGGGATGTAGTTACAGCAAGAATTGTACTCCGCAAGTCAAGGCAGCCTCTGATGGCCAGTGTCCCAAGGACATCGTGAGTTTTATGAAGTGAGGCTTTCAGGAACTGCTGACTATGAAGGACTCTCCAGGATGTTCAGAACAGGAATGGGAGATGGTTTACTGAGAAGAGCTATCACCACCCTAAGGGAAAGAAGGCCTAGGAGACCCCAACCTGGATGTTTGTGTGAAGTTGTGCAGGAATAGTAGATGTGACTGTTGGTGGCCAGATGGTAACGTTTTGTGCCTACATTTTTACTCCTTTCCAGGAGAGGTCATGGATGACTTTTTTAGGTCTCGGGTGGTGAGCAGAGCCAGGATTCCATCTTAGCTCGTACCGCTCCAAATCTAGGGGTTGGACCCCAGGGGGTATATTATAGAATACCCCTGATGGTGAGTGTCCAGTAGGTCTAGATTTCTGTCAGGCTTGGGATTTGGAAATGGAGGCAGGGAATACCATGCTTAGTGTCCATGTCAGTATCTTTGAGGTTCCAGGCCAACAGGACAGAGCAGCAAATGATCTACCACATCTGTGTTTCTAGATTCTATCCCTTCCTAAAGTTACAAAGAACTCTACTGTTGCTTGTCTTTCCTGCAGAACTTGGGGACGGGTGGGAGTAGGTGGGTGGGGAAGCTGAGGCTTGATTGACAGGAAGGAGGTGAATGAAGGTAAGAGCTCAGTTCTTTCAGAAGGATCTTTGAAGTATTGGGGGAGGGGTGCTGTCAAAAGGATCTATCTATATTTCTGCCCTTAGAGGAGAATGTGTGTGTGTGTGTGTGTGTGTGTGTGTGTGTGTGTGTGTGTGTGTGTATGTATGTGTGTAAGAGACAGCCAGGCCCTCAGCCTGACTCTGTTCCTCAGCCAGCCAATGTATTGTGGAGGTGGGGGCTGGAGAATGGAAAGGCTGAAATGCTAGGAGCTACAGTGTGGTTTCACTGCCGATGTCTCTGGAGTGTTTCTCTCCATCTCCATGCTCATAGTCCGACTCCATCTCAATCTTCACTTGTGGCATTGGAAAACCTAGGCTCCGGGAGTAGTTGAAGGCAGGTGAAGGTGGGCAGGAAATCTTCAAGTGTAAGGTGATGCTGTGGGGGAAACCAGAGAGCAAAGACTAGGGGAGGAAGGATTAACCTGACTAGGTGTCCCCTGCCTCCCCAGGACCTTCAGGAAGCCTGGGGCCGGTAGCCCTCTTGCCTTCTGAAGACTTGAAAAAACCAGTGAGAGCTAGACTCAATCCTGAAAGTTCTAATTTTTCTGCAATTCTGACCCCGACAGGTTACTTGGAGGAGAAGGTGCCTCCACATTTCTCTTAAGAAAAACGCCTTCCCCTCATACTACCTAAAATCCTGCCAATTGAAGATTCAGGTGGGTGGTTACTAAGCTTTTTAGTGTTGGTCAACTTAGCGTTAGTGAATCAGTTTCGTGAGATTGCCTTCATCTCCCAACCTAGGGGAAGTCAGGAAGTTTTGAATGCGTAAGGATATTGATTCAGGTACAGACTGGTCTGGAAGGCAACTGAGGCCCCTTCTCACCTAGAGGTTCAGTGAACTCAATCACAGAATTAGAGGTCATTGGGTACCAGCTATACTCAAAATACTAATTAATCCTTTCTAAATGTTCTTGAACAAGGGGTCATTCAGCCTTCAACTCCATTTAGGGTTGGGACTTGCTGGTCATCTCCCATGCATCCCCTCCCCCAAAGGTGACCTGCTCCATTTTCAGACATCTCTAATTGCTGACAATTAGTCAATTAGACAATTAGTCAATTAGAATTAGTCAAATGAAATCCTTCCATTTGACTGCCCTCAGCATGCCCTGTACACCAATTGTCATGCCCCTCAGGGTGAAAAAGAACTCGTCTAATCCCAACACTTGATCCATTTTAGATCCTCCATGTCTTAACTCTAGGCTAAGTATGTCCAAATTCCTTAACTGACCCTTGTGTGACATGGTCACCAGTCCTCACCATCCTGACTGCCCTCCTCTGGATGTATTCCAGATGTATGTCCCTCCTGAAATGTACCCAGCAAGAGACACAGTACCCTAGATGTGATCTGGCCAGGATGGAGGCTGGTGGGGCTGTTAACTCCCTAATTCTAGATGCTGGACTTAGGTATTCATGCACCATAAGATCTCCAGGCAGCTAGGTGTCGAGTGGAAAGTGCTGACTTGGAGTCAGGAGGACAAGGGTATTCAAAGTGACATCAGCATGTGTTTTGGGGTCCCTGAGTATAAGGGGAGGGACCAGGTTGGAGAGAGCCAGGGAGCCAGGGGCTGAGGATTTGGCCCAGATGATAACAGAGCGCTGGAGTGACCCTCAAAGGAGGAGAGGGTGCTGAGAGACAATGGTGAGGGGATCCCAAACTGAAGCCCCATTCAGGGCGTTGTACTTAGGGAAGAAGCCCTCTGGCCTCATACGGGAGTGTATCAGATCAAATTAATGGGTCGAATTCACTAACTGGCCGAGAGGTTCCCTGCAAACCTTAAAACTCGCTATTATGATGATGATTCAATTTGAGTTTTAAAATTTCTGTTATGATGGCCTGGCCTTGAAGGTAACACTGAGCTACCTCCTTTCCCTCCTCGTTTTGCCTGAGTGACTGCTGGGAAAGCATAGTCCAAAGGGGTAGGAGCGGGGCGGGGCTGGTGCAGGATTTCAGTGGGACAGGGAGCAGCTTAGTGAGGAAGCTCTGTCCGGGTTGTACATTGCTGCCTATGTAACCGCTGGGGTTAGGTGACTAGCCCAGAGTCAGAGCCAGGGTGTATCAGAGGCAGGCCAAGCTCTCTGCGCTCCCTCGGTGCTGCCCTGCCCACAGGAGCCCACCGACATCACCCTTGTGTCTTTGGTCTCTGAGAACGAAGGACAGACCGCCGCCACCTTCTCATTGCTGAGCTAGCCTTTGGGGCTGGGCCTTCCCTCCTGCTGTCCCTAATGTTTTCCTCGATCCTCCTCTTGGTGTCTCAACTGCCCCTCTGACTCCTGGCTTGAATGCCTTTCTGGAATGCTGCTTGGTCCCTGGCCTGCCCTGGCAATGGTGAAGTTGCCTTGTCCCCTTGGTCACCTCCTTTCTCAGTGCCAGAGAGTTGGTGGGGCTTGGACTCTGGCCCTGGGCTTGTGGGGCCTTGCCTCTTGCAGATTTTGGGTAATTCCCCAGTGTGTCTTCCCTTCACTCATGCAGATGGCCAGCCCTCCAAAGCTTGGAGAGCTACTGTGGCCTTTCATAAGTATTCATTGCCCTCAGGGCCGACTGTCTGGGGACGCATCTCTTTGAGACGAGCCCATCGGGCCTTCAGACCCACTCATGGTGCTGCTCATCCCCAGAGCCAGACACACATCAGGCCCTCCTCCCCAGCAGGACCAGGAGGGCTCATGCTCCAGGGGCAAGGCCTTTCAGGGCCTGGGGTTTGGCCATTTCATGCTGATAAGGCAGCGGTGGTGTTTAAAGTCTTTAGGCTTCTTGGAAGAATTTTTCTTTTCTAATCCTGCCCTTGCCCTTTCCTCCCTCACCAGACGTTGGGCAGGTCTTCCTTTTCCCATCTGGCTTCCCTGCTACAGCTCTTGTTCTCCCACTAAAGAGCTGAGCTTCATTGTCTTGTGACACCACCGTCACATTATGGTGAGGCCGGAAGGCCTGCCCCGGAGGCCAAGGCCGGGTCCAGAGTTTGGCTTGGCTGCCCATCCTCTGGCCCGAGCACCCAGACCCAGCAATGACCACCAGAGGGATGGACAATTACCTTCGATCGGAATCGCTGAGGAAGGGATCAGAGGGAGTAACTCCAACTGGAAGCTCTTTTTCCTGATGGGGGAAGAAGCAAAATGGAGCAAATTCTGTTCCTTCTGCCCTCCCTCCCCCTGGCCCACCCAGCACAAGCCCTTCTTTCCAGCCTTCAATCCTGGCATTCTCATGAAAAAGAAAGATCACAGAGTGAAAGATGAGCCTGGTCTGGGGGAGAAGCCTCTGTCACCCTCAAGGCGTGTGGCAAAGATTGCTTAAATCTATGGGAGAAAGGGTGGAGAGGCTCAGGAAAGAGAGAGGGAGGGAAGGAACCCGGAAAGAAGAAGAGATATGGGGATGCAAGAGAGGGAGGAAGTGGGGCAGGGGACGTGGAGGGGGCAGTAAAGACCACAGCTGCAGACTTGTGAGGGATCTTGGAGGCCATCTGATCCAGCACACCCTCTTCTGCCCCCATTTTACAGTTGGGGAAACTGAGGAACACAAAGGTTAAGTGACTCGCCTAAGTTCACATAGGTATGAGGCAGCAAGAGGCAGGATTTGAACCCCAGGCCTCTGACTCTAGACTGAGTACTCTTTCTGTCATGTCACACTGCCTCCATCTCCCTCGAGAGATGGAGGGGAAAAACAGGAGGATCCAGAGTCACAGGTGATGGGGAAGGGCAAAGATGGCGGCCTGGGACCTCAGGTGCCTGTCAATGGCAGCGGCACCATCATCACAGGCCACATTAACCGTCTTCTCTAGGCCCAGAGAAAGGTCTTCCGGTGGGTAAAGACCGTCATCGTGTTAACACGGGCCTGTGTCTGTTGAGATGTGAGGAGAGCTGGGAGGCCAGTAGTCCAAATGGCATCCTAATCATTTTATAGGATCATAGATGGTCGCAGGCTGAAAAGGACCGTAGAGACCATTAGGCCCATTAGAGTGGGACCTCCTTCAGGGCAGGGACTGGCTTTTGCCTTTTGTTGTATCCTCAGCACTTAGCCCGGTGCCTGGCACACGGTGGGCTCTTACTAAGTGTTTACTGACTGACCAATGAGATTTTCTTCTACTCAAACTTTCAAAGCCATTTCTACAAAGCTCTCTAAGAAGCTGGGAAGGATCCACTTGGCCATTTGAAGATAGGTCAGTCTTCAAACAGTAGACTTCTAGTGTGGATGAACTGGCCCAGGGGTCTGGGTGTTACCATAGGGATAGAGCCTGGCCAGGGATCCCATTACTATATAGGACTCCCAGATGAGTAAACTCCCTCTACTGATGCAGGATGGCATGTTCTCTGCAAGTCAAGTCTCAGGTAGCTGCCTGGAGCCCTGAGAACGTGACTTTTAAAGGGTCACACGGCCACTGGGTGTCAGAGGTGAGACGCTGACCCAGCTCTTCACCGGCTCCTATGCAATATCATAGGTGAGTGAAAATGAAAGAGCCGCCAGGAAATGGAAAACAGGAAAGAACAAACTTGGGTTGGAAGTTAGGAGACCTTCATTTGAAAGTTGCCTCTGCCTCTTATCAGTTGTAAGACCTGGCATGACACTGGTCCTCCTTGGCCCTCAGTTTCTTCTACAAAAAGAAGGGGTTTGATTAGAGCGAGCCTTCTTTACCTTTTGTGTGTCCCCAACCCCTCTGGCAGACTGGGGAAACCTTCAGACTTCTCTCTTCTCAGGGAGACATAAAATGAACTATGTAGCATTGCTAAGGAAACCAATCATATTGAAGACATTTATCGGAGTATTTCTAAAACGTCCACAGACCCCAGAGTAAGCGTCTTTGGATTAGATCTTCCAGGCCAAAACCCTGTTTCTGAGAATCCTACGATCTTGTGAGAGCCATAGGTAGGTACCTTTGCCTAAACGAGGCTCGATCAACACAAAGTTCAAGATTTGACCTGGTCACTGAGTCTGACCTAAGTTTCTGATAATGCTCTTGGCTCAGCCCCCACCTATGCTCTACTGCCTCATCCCTTCTCTGAATGTGATATACTCTGAAAAGCATGAATGCAGGCCCCCAAAGCTGGGAGATGGAGGAGATGGCAGAAGATTAGACCAAGCAGGAAGGTGCTTTACTTACTGGCAATGCAATGGATACCATTTTGGGGATCGGACTGGACAGGTTCCATGGGGATCTTTATAACTGAGGGAGAAGGAAACTGGGGCTGGGAAGAAACATCAGGAAAAAAGCCAGTAAGTACCCTGGATGCGAACCGTGTACATGCTTGGCAAATCAGGTGGGAAATGCACAAATGGGATCACAAAATGGCACCCTCTTCCCAACACAAGGGAACACTGAAGGTAGAGCTGCTAAGCTTCTGAGGAGCGCTGAGGGAACACTTCTCTACACTCCAGGAAGAGGCCAAGATCTCCCATATCCCAGGAGGTAAGGACCCCTTGCCATCATCGTCATCACTACCAGTAACCACTTCCCATAGTGCTGAAAGAGTGACAAGGCGCCTTCACCCCAGTGACCCAAGGAGGGAGGTAACACTGGTGTTCCCCCTGAGACAGGAAACCCTGGCCCAGAGAGTAAAGTGACCTGCCCAAAGTCATATGTTTAGGGTGTGGCAGGCAGGCTGGGATTCCCTCCAAAGTCTTTTGACTCCAGACTCTCTCTCTTTCTTTCTCTCTTTCTCTCTCTCTCTTTCTTTCTCTCTTCTCTCTCTCTTTCTTTCTTTCTTTCTTTCTTTCTTTCTTTCTTTCTTTCTTTCTTTCTTTCTTTCTTTCTTTCTTTCTTTCTTTCTTTCTTTCTTTCTTTCTTTCTTTCTCTCTCTCTCTCTCTCTCTCTCTTTCTTTCTTTCTTTCTTTCTTTCTTTCTTGGCTAGGCAATGGGGTTAAGTGACTTGCCTAGAGTCACACAGCTAGCTCTTTCCATTTCATGACATAGCCTTATCCACCTGCACTGTGACCCTTGTCACAGAGACACACACAAGTGGGCCTCACTTTAGGAATCCACTAGGGGCTCCCAAAATGGGAGGTTAATGGAATTTTTCTCAGTCTAGTCCTGTTTTCCCATTGACAAGTCCATTCCAAAGATGTGTTCACACCCCTTCTAAGACATTTTCCATAGACAGTGGCCTTTAAGATCTACCCCCTTGCCAGCCTCTGCCTCTTTCTTCCAAGCTTGACTCTATGAAGGCACTTGAAATTCAAAGGAGCCCTTCAGTGATTTTTATTGAATTGTCCTCTAATGATCTCATCTGTCTCCACGACTGACTTTAAGTTCCTATGGGGCCGGGTTCACGTCTTAAGCTACTTGGGTAGCTTTGGACAGGTAGGCAGCACAGTGGATAAAGAGTGCCAGGCCTGGAGTCAGGAAGACCTGAGTTCAAGTCCAGCCTCAGACACCTCCTAGCTGTATGACCCCGAGCAAGATGCTTCACCCTGTTTGCCTCAGTTTCCTCAACAGTAAAATGAGCTGGAGGAGGAGATGACAAACCACTCCAGTATCTTTACCAAGAAAACTCTCGATGGGGTCAGGACAAGTTAGACACGATTGAAAAGCTTAAACTTTGGACAACCCAGTAGTGTCCTGCACAACCCCAGCCCCATGGCTGGTGTTCAATAAACACTTCTTGGTAAGCTGAGCAGTAAAGGGAAGAACGCTTTTGGGAAGGACTGAGGTTCCTAGGGACTGGACAGCATTCTCAACAGCAGGGCCCAGCTGGACTGAACAGCAGCTCTCCTTTCATTGTAGGAGGGGTCCTTCCAGTGGGAGCCTCCGTTAGTGCCTCAGTGTGACCTGGTGGAGGATGGGGGTGGAGGGGAGAGTAGAGCTGAGGTGTCAGCAGTGTCTACCATGCTGGACAGTCCGGCCTTGGTGAAGGGCTGGGACGCCATCAAAGGCCTGTCTCAGAGCAGAAGGGCCATGATTTCTGCTGCAGCCAGTGGGGAGGATGGCTAGCTAAGGCAGTAAGGAGGGGCAATGTGCATTCAGGAGAGGTAACAGCCACAAGGAGTCATGCCTCCCCGAAGGGCTGGAGTCACCTCTTAAACTACTTAATTCCCCACCCCCACCCCCATTAGCCCATAGGCTCCCGACAGCTATTCTTTTGGCTATTCTTTAAATCCCCAGCACAGTGCCTGGGACATAGTAAGTGCTTAATAAACGTCGACTGACTGAGTGTGTAAGACACACTGAACTCTGCCATAGCAGCCTCCACATTCCTGCCTGCATAGCCCAGCTCAAGCCAGCTCCATTTAGCTCCAGTTCTCTGCCTTCTGCTCTGCTTCTGGCTGCCCAGGAAGGGCAGGGGTGGCTGGCCCTGGGTGCTGATCCTTTTACATGGTAGATGGGAAGATGTGGCCCCTAAGCTTAGCCTGGGTGGGTGTCACCTGGCCAGGGAACTTGGGAGGGTGGGGGCTTCCTCTGAGCTCTGCGGGGTCTCCATCATCTTTGGGGATCCAGGGGCTCACGCACGGGTGACATCATGGCCGACTGCTTAGCTCAGAGGGTGGATCCTGGGCTTGGAGTGGACCAGGTGTGTTTCGCTCCCCGGCCCCTCAGCCTCCCCAGGCCTAGCCCTGCCCACCTCCTCACTGCTGCTGCCGCTGCCACCGTCCAGGGTCCCTTTCCTCTTCTTCTTCTTGTCATCTTCCTTCTTCTTCTCCTTCTCAGGGATGACATTGTCAATCCAGGCCAAATCGTGCTGGGAAAAGACCAGGTCCAACAGCTTGCGCACAATGATGAGACCCAAGATCTGGAGGGGGAGGCACAGAGAGGAGCTGGAGCTCTGACGGGATCGAGGAAGGGGGGGAGGAAGAGGAGGAGGAAGAGAAGGAGGAGGAGGAAGGAAAGGAGGTGGGAGAGGAAAGGGAAGAGGAGGAAGATCAGGGAGAAGGAGGAGGAGGAGAAGGCAGGCTTGAGGGGCAGCAGGAATGGAGCCTTCTGGCCACCGGGGCCCCCGCTTTCCCCTTCAATGCTGCCTCTCCACGCTGGCGCTGTGTTTCAGTGGAAAGAATACCACGTTTGAAGTCAAAAGCCTGTGTCACCTGACCTGTCTGAGCCTCAGTTCCTCCTCCTCTAAAATGAGGGAGCTGGAGGGTTTCCAAGGTTCTAGATCTATGATCCTGATCTTGGTTCTAAGCTCTACTTTGTCACTTCCTGTCTATGCAATGTCGGACCCAGCATCTAATGTCTCTCAGGCTGTTTTCCTTGGCTATAAAGTGGGGCTATGTCAAAGGTCTGCTGTGAGGAAAGTAGACAATAAGGCCTTAGGCTAGGAGCTCTGGGTGGACAGCTTCTCTTCTCTGTGCCAACCTGTAAAATAAGGGGATTGGACTCAGCAGTCTCTAAGACCCCTCCAGACTCTGGCTCTTCCATCCATCTCAGCCCCGTATGGTCCTGCCCTGCCTTTCAAGGCTTCCTTCCCATTCTCTCTTCATCCTCTACCTTCCAGTCAGGCCCAACAAAGAGGGGTCCTTCCCCAAGCCTGACATCCTCTCTCTTGACTGCCTGCTTCCCCCCACACCTGGGATCCCCTCCCTCCTCATCCCTCCCTCCCAGACTCACCTCCTTTGGGAAGCCTTCCCAGCTCCCTCCCTCTGAGCATCCTCCACTCTCTCCATTTTCTTGGAGCAGTCCCTAGCCTCTCTGCTTTGCCTCCATCACACCTGACCTCAGACTCCTCTCTGCCCAATGCCACCCCAGCCCCAGGAGCTCCTTGAGAGCAGAGACTGTTTTTTTGCTTTTCTTTGTATCCCCTGTGCTTAGCATAGCTCCTGGCATACAGTAGGCACCTAATAAATGTTTCCTGACCAATTGATCCTCCCAGGCTGAGCTTCTCCAGTGGCAAGTGAGGAAAGTGAGGAAAGGGATGGAGGTAGGGACAGTCCCCTTGGGTCAGTTCTCACCATCACAGGGAAGATGATGGCAGCCACGGTGGACTTGAGGATCCAGAGAATGGCCAGGCAGAGGACCTGTACCAGGGTGAAGAGGTGAATCCGGCGCAGAGGCACGTGGCGCAGGAACGCGTAGTCGGGCTGGTGCTTGGCGGGCATCAGGAAGAGCTTGCAGCGCTCCCAGAACTGTCCGAGAGAGCACAGGGCTTAGCAGGGTCAGGTGGAGGACCTGGCGTGCTCAGGATTGGGGCCAAGGACCAGCAGGTCACCTGTGCAGCAGTGGGTGCAGGATCAGGAAGGCACAGCCTCAAACCCACACACAGAGCACCACGGAGGTGTGCTTGGGAAGGGAGGACGGCCCCAAGGGACTGAGCCCAGGGCTTTGGACTAGGGAGCACGCCCAGGATTGGGGCCAGGGACCAGCAGGTCACCAGTGAGAGCGGCGGGTATAGGACCAGGAAGGGTCAACCGGGGAGCATTCTGGCCGTGTGGGGCAGGGAGCCTTACCTGGATACCATTAAGAGAGGCTACGCCCATGTAGAGAAAGACTCCGTAGAGCACAGGCATGGGGATGTACTAAGGGGAGAAACAGGGAAGGACAGCTCTCAGGGGGGGCTTGCTGGCTCTGACCCCCATGCGATCACAGAATCTCAGAGCTGGAAGGAGGCTCAGAGGCCAGAGGCCAGCTCTATGAAGAGGAATCCTTTCTGCCGTCCACATCGCTGAAGCACGATTATAGAGAGCTCACTGCCTCCCAAGGTAACGCGGACGTTCTCATTGTTAGGAAGCTATCTCTGAGTCGGAGTCCAAACCCTCCTGCCTCCCAGTGCTAAGTCTAACGAAGCAGCATCCACATGTGGCGTGATGACATCATAAGCGTACAGTGCTCTGAAAACTGCCACGTGCTGGACGTCTCCCCCCGCGTCTCCTTCCACTCCGAGGCAGCTCAGGGCTGCCGCTGCTGAACGTGGAGGGTGGTCGCAGCTTGTCGGGTTAGACGGGGCTTGGTGCGCGTCCCTGGAGGCAGGGGCCGTGCTGCCCCTGGGGGACTCTTTTGGTGCGCCTTTCCCTCCCCTGCTGAGCCTTCCCGGGCTCACCCTGCGCACATGGCAGCCCTCGGTGGGGTGGGGGCGCTCACCTTCAGGATGGGAGCCAAGAAGACCGAGATTCCCGTCAGGATGAAGACGATGATGCCTGTCACTCTCTGCTCCCTGGCAGTGGAGACATGATGAGCAGGGTCAAGGGGACGCTCTAGGGCCACTTCTTTTTATTTATTTATTTATCTCCCTATTTATTTATTTATTTAATTACTTCTTTATTTTTCATTCATTCATTCATTCATTCATTCATTCATTTATCTATTTATTTTTTTAGGGCCACTTCTAAGGCCAACCACGTTTGGAGGCTCAATGTTCTGCAGTGCCCCCTGCTCCATTAAAACATGAGACCCTCGAGGCCAGAGGCTGTCTTTGCCTTTCTTCTAGCCTCAGCCTTTGGCCCACAGTAGGAACCCCTCTGTCTTCATTCACACTGACCTTGGGAGCCACACCAAGGGCCCTGGGCCTACCCTCTCTGGCCCTCCTGGGCCTCTCCTGCCTAGGCACCCACTCACTGCTCCCTCCCCCCATAGGGCCACCGTGATCTTCTCAAGGAACCCCCGCCTTCCCTCCAGGCCCTGCTCCCTGCTCTCCCAGCTGCAGCTAGCTACTCCCACAAACCTCTCATCCTGGACGGGTAAGTGTGGGGCAGGAATATAATCAGCGTTTACTGAACTGACCAGTGCGCTTTGTGAGATATCTCAAAGACCTGAGTTAGGGGTTGGAAGCTGCGGTGCTGGATGGAATGAAAGGGAATTCAGGTGGTTGTCGCCAGAAAGACATGTGACCCTGTGGCCACACTGATGAGTCTCCAAACATAGCCAGGCTGGGCCTCAGGTGAGGTGCAGGTAGGAGAATCTGCCAGTCCACATTGTGTGGATGTATTGGAGAACCAGGCTCATCTGGGTTCATCTCACAAGGAGATGTAGGAGTGGGGCGTCGCTCTCTTGTAGATGTACATTTTTAATATTTAAACGGCCTTCTGGAGACAATGACCTTTCCCCATCTTTGGGGTCTAATAGGAAGGGGACTCTGTGGGAGGCAGGAAGGTTACCAAGGGGCTTTTCAGGACAGGAAGTGGCCTATGACCTTGTTCAGGTGTTATTTCTTCCACTCCCACAGCTAATGGCCCTTCTCCAGCTTTGGAATCTGCTGTGTTTGGAGATGCATCAGCTTGTGGCTAGCATGGCTATGCTGGTCCTTGAGGTAGCCCCATCCAACCCTGGGCTGGCCTTGGAAACTCTCCTGGCTTTCTGGGTACCGCCTGATGGCAGCACCCCTCTGGTGCAGCCTTTGAGACTGGGGGATCACCTCGGTCCCCTGATGAGAAGGCATTGAAGGAACACCTTCGTGGAGCACCAGCCACGTGGGCCGTGCTTAATAAGTAGTGACCGTGGGATGGCCATGAGGGGAAACAGAGCCCAGGGAGATCAGAGCTCCCAGGACTGTGTTGGGTACATTTCATGGAATGTCGTGTCTTATGGTGATCTGCTTTGGCGTCTCATTCCCATACTGGCAGCTCGCAGAGGGCCCGCTCAGCTCTGCTCAGACGGATGCTTCACAAACATTCATTGTCCAGAATCCATCCAAGCAATGTCTAAGGGTGTGTGGACTCACCTGGACCCACTTGGGGGGCACCCTCATGGCCCCCCACTAATTACTTTATAGTTGTATTCTTATCTGTGGATGTGTTTTCGGCCAATAGGAGGCAAAATGCTCCAGGGATGGGACTGTCATGTGGGTCATAGTATCCCTTCAGCCTAGTGCAGCACCTGATACATAGTAGGTGCTTCATAGATGCTGATTGATGGATGGGGAGACAGATAACTTACCCAGGAGAAGGTCCTTGACCACACAATATCCCTGGGTGGTCTGTGCTGGGGCAGGTAGAACTCTTGTGTGATTTCAGAGGAAAGAAAACCTTCCCAGGTAACCAGAGAAGGCTTCAAGGAGGTCGGAGCTGGCTGTGGGTATGATCCAAGTAGGTGTGAGGGAAGTTTCAGGTGTATGGGGGGAGAGAGGAGGGGGAGTGAAATAGTGTGATCAAATGTGTGGAGGCTGGAAAGTAAGAGATCAGTTTGTCTGGCACAGAACAGGGGACTTGTGTAGGGTAGTTTAAGAGAACCTTCAATGCCAAGCTACGAAATGTGGTCTTTGTCTTTGTAGGCAAAGGACAGAGGAGGCATGGACCTGCATGGTGTGACCAGGGAGCCTGTTCAGCCCCCGACCTCAGAGTCTGTGCAGCTCTCTCTCCCATGCCCGCTCTCCCTCTTTGTGGGGCCTGGCCAAGAGGCTTTGGGCTCCCCCTCTGAGGCCAATGCCTTCTCCTACCTCACCCCCAGGAACTGCGGCTGCTCCCCGGGGGCACTGGTCTCCGTCTCCATCTTGAGGCTGTCGATGTGGGCTATGGAAATGACGGTAGCAGCCACGTACCAGGGCAGGCCCATGAAGGAGCACACAGCCATGAGGATGCCCACCCAAAACAGGTCCAGGTGGTAGCCTGCAGCCTTCTGTGGAAGGAAGAGGGACCACCTCAGCATGGGCCACCATGTTCTCAGGCCACAAGCTGTTCCAGGCCCCTCTCATCCCCCTGTCACTGTCCCAGGTCTCCAGATGGACTCACAGAAGGAATCTTTGTTTCTGACTTAGAGGAAAGGCCGATGCTCATGAGGCATCTGTGGCCTGGGCATGGTTCTCGGGGACTTTGGCTGAGCCAGCTGGAGTCCTGGGCTTCTTGAGCCCACAGGGCCACCTAGTGTGATGTGAGCTCACCAGGCTTGAAGGCAGGACGCTGGGGCTCCAATCCAGGCTACCCACTAGCTTGGTATTCTTAGGCAACCTTTACTCCCCTGAGTCTCAGTTTTCTCATCCTTAAGATGGGCACAATAGTACTTATCTCAGCTAACTCACACAGCTTTGAAGGCAAGTAGGTGGTATAATGGATAGACTGCTCTTTGGAGCCAGGAAACCCTGAGTTCAAATCCTGCCTCTGATACTTATTATGGGACCCTAGGCAAATCACTTAACTTTTCTTTGCCTCAGTTTTCTCATTTGTAAAATGGGGATCATTCTACTTCCAATAGTTTTTGCAAGGATCAAATGAGATCACATATATAAAACATTTTGCAAACTATAAAATATCCTATCAACACTAGCTATTATTATTATTATTATTAGTAGTAGTATTAGTGCATCTTACAACATGATGAATGTGAGCTACAATTGTAGCTCACCCAGGGAACCATCCTCCCCAATCCCAGAAAGCCCCATTTGGTTTTGACCTGGCCTGGCAGAATGAGCCTGGACCAGGGGACCAAGCCAGCTCAGGGCTGAGCAGGAGGTGAGGACAGGGTTGGGGGTGGGAGCTGTTTCCTGATTGCATAGTCCTTTAGGGGGAAGGGTCCATCTGTTTTAGCACAGATCTCTGCTCTTCTTGGGGCCAGGGACTGCTTCAGGCTTAATCCTGGGATGGCCTTGTGGGTTTTGGACCCAACCAAGCTCTGGTCAGGCTTTGACCTGAATTCCTAGTTCCTTGGGGAAAGGGAAATCTAAGGTTCTCCTAGAAGAAAGGGTCCTCAGCCCAGCTCATACCAGAACACATGTCCCTTCCATAGCCTCCCCAAGTGGTCATTTACTCCCTGCTTGACAAGCCTAAAGGAGTGAGGGGACAGCTCACCCCAGTTTAGAGGACCTGACTCACCTTTGCCCCAAGGTCTCCTCTGAGCCTGAGGCTCAAAGCCAGAAGGGCAGGAAGATATGAGCTTCCCTTTTGGAGAAGGGGCTGTCTGTGTGTGGGGTCCTCACTGATAACTTGGGGCAGAGAATTCCTGGGTTCCTTTGGAAAATTCTTGCCCTGGGACTGAGCTTGGCTGGACTAGCTCCCATGGATGCACACCGTCATTCTGATTTCAAACCTCCTGTGTCCAGTGGGGATGGAGACCTACAACTTTCCCTCCAAGAGGGAGTGAATTTGTAAATAGTAAGAGTGAACACCGGGAGGGGTTTTGTTTTTCTTTTTTTCTCAGTAGAGGGGGAGGTGGGAGGCAGAGAAAGTGGATTTTTGTTGATTGAAAAAATAAATTAAAATCTAAAATTATAATAAACACCTTAGCCTTCAGTGTTTACAACACACTCCACCTACATGCTCTCACTCTTTTCTCAAACCACCCTGGCAGATCTGTTGTTGTTCAGTCATTTTTCAGTCATATCTGACTCCCCATGACCCTGTTTGAGGTTTTCTTGGCAAAGATACTGGAGTGGCTTTCCATTTCCTTCTCCGGCTCATTTTATGGATGAAGAAACTGAGGCAAGCAGAGTCAAGTGACTCATCCAGAGTAACACAGTAGACACTGAGGCAGTTAAGGGATCACACAGGTGGTATCAGAGGCAGGATTTGAACCCAATCTAGGCTCTATACACTAGAACATGCTGCCTTTAGAAAATAATCACAGCAGTGCATATTTCAAGAGTCCATGGAAGCTGACAAAATGCTTTCCTCAAATACCTCTGTGTTTTTTTTAGCTAGGCAGTGGGGTCAATTGACTTGCCCAGGTTCACACAGCTAGTAAGTGTTACGTGTCTGAGGCCAGATTTGAACTCAGGTCCTCTTGAATCTGGGGCTGGTTCTCTATCTACTATGCCACCTAGCTGCCCATCCTCAAATACCTCTGGGAGAGAGGTGGTGTGAGCATCATTAGCCTAACGCAGGTTAAAGACTTTAGTCCAGGGGCGGGGAACCTGTGTGAGGCCTTCTAAATCCCCAGGCGTGGCCTTTGTTTGGTAAAATTTGGATTCGGTCAAAAGGCCTCGAGGCCCCAGGTTTCCCCCCACCCCACCACTTTAGTCTGTAGGCTGTGGGCAGCTTGAGAGCAGGGACAGGCTGTCTGCTTGTCTTTGTAGTTCAAGTTCCTAGCACAGTGCCTGGTACACAGTAGAGGGCTAATAAATGCTTCTCCTCCCCCCTTCCCTTCAAGGCCAGACATCGCGTTTCTGCCTCAGAATTAGGAAATGAGCCCTCGATTTCCCCTGCTCCGTAGCTACAAGCCCACCCGACTCCTGGCTGCCTGTGCCTCAGCGCCCCCTACAAGCATACCCTCAATTTATTCTCCTTGCGGTTAACGATGACCGCTGTGATCTGCTGGTCCATGAAGATCAGGATGGTCACCAGCAGGGCGGGGAGGGTGCTGGCTAGGTAAATCCACCAGGGGTTCTTCCCGAAGGGGAAGATGAACCAGCCTCGGTCCACCCGGGTGGGCTGGAGCAGGGAAGAAACCATGAGTCACTCCTCCCTCTCCCCCTTCCCAGGAAGCCGTGGCTCCCAGGCCCCACCTTTCCTCCCCCTCCTCTCCTTTTCCCTCATGGCATTACCTTAAAAACTGTGGGCACCTGAAGCTTTGGAGTATTGAGGCCAAAGAGACTGTCGAGGGCCACGAAAGCCAGAATGGACATGAAGATGGAGAAGTCGCTGATGAGCTTCCGCAGCTAAGGAGAGAGCACATCAGCCCTAAATGAGAGGTAGGAGCTGGGTGAGCCCGGCTGGACAGTTGGGGATCGGCCAGAATCAAGAACGCAGGGACTTCTGACCACGGTGTCCTTGCCCACCCCTGAGCACTCGCCTAGGGTGTTACATCAAGAGGAAAACGTCCCTGGAGAAGGCATGGGTTCAAATCCTTTCTCCATCATTTGTTGCCTGAGTGACCTTGGGCAGGCCATGCTCTGGGCCTCAGTTTCCTCATCTGTAAAATAAGCTGGAGAAGGAAACGGCAAACCAAGAAAACCCCAAAAGGGGTCACGAAGAGTTGGACACCCTGAATAACTGCCTCTTGGTAACATACTCATTGCTCCTACTTCTCCCTGCTGGAGCCAAGCAGCACAAGCGAAATCTCTTTACAAGGTCATCTTTCCAACACCTGAAGAGATAAATTGTGCCTTCTCCAGGCTAGCCCACCCCACTCCCTTAGGAGAGTTAGAGTATCTTCATGATCCCCACAGGTCCAATATTGTGTTCAGTTCTGGACACGGCCAAGGTGCAGGGCCTGTGTCTGGGGCTCCCATCCTTTCCCACCCTGGCACCTCCCTAGCTTGGACCTGGACCCTCTCTCAATGCAGCCTAAGAAGGCCTGAGCACATTTTGACACTGTTAAGTTATGCTGCGCTTGCAATCCACAAGCACCCTCGGATCTCTGTCTTAGGATCTGCTCTCCCGTCTTGTCTCCCCCATCTTATACTTGTAAAGTTGATTTTTTTTAAGCCCAAGGTGCTTTACATTTATCAGATTAAATTTAATCTGCCTGACTTCTTCCTTAAGTTGTAGCCTGTGGAGATCTTGGAGGTGAACGCACTGCTCCGGAAGGGGGCTGACCACCAGGGCAGAGGTCAGTGGGATGATCAGTCACCTGCCTCATGGTCTGTGAAAACATGTCCTGGATTTTGCCTTCTTGGATAACCTTGTCCAGCATGGTCAAAAAAATAATAATGATGAATTAGTGGCAGAAGTGGGCTTTTGTCTCTGGTTTCCCATCTCTAAGTGAAGTGTTCTTTTCACCAGGGGCCACTGGGATTCCTGCTTACAGAATGTCAGCCTAAAGTCTCCACTTCAGAATCTAAAGACCCCAGGAGGTAGTGCATCACAGGTGGGCTTCTTACCTTGGTAGGGAAATAGCGGCTGAACTTGAATTTCTTTAGGGTCAGGGTCATGGAGTATGTCCCGAAAAAGAGGATGAAGGACATGAGTGCCAGGTCTGGGACAAAGTGGCAGGAGTTCCCCAGCAGGCTCCCTCCGTACCTCAGGCACTCCTTCTTGCTCAGCTGAGACCAGTCCAGAGCTGTCAGGTTAAGGGGATTGTCCTTGGAGTTCAAGCACAGAAAAGAAGGAATCAGAGTTGTACTGTCCCTGCACACCTCTAGATACAGCCCATGCATCCTGCCCTGGGATGGTGGTGCCCCAGCTCCTAGAAGGAGACCTTTCCCATTGTTAGGAGCATTCCTGGTGGGTCCTTAAGGAATGGTATCCCATCGGTTCCCATTTCTGTACAATCCTGCTCTAACATCATTTACTCAGCTATTCAAAGTAGCTTCCTAAGGCTCAGGTTTGACCATGGCACCACCTTTACCAAAATCTTCCAATGACTCCAACTCAACAAATCTCTGAGTGGGAAGGGAGGGACCTCAGAAGCTGTCTCATCCAGCACACATACATGAAGACTCTCCTCTGAAGCTTCCCTGTCCCAACATCCTTAAGTTTTGTTGAAGATGGCCAGGAAAGTGGAGATCCACCTTCCCGTACCTCCTGAGGTAGCCAGCCCATTCACTCCTGGACAGCTCTCAATGTTAGACCGAGCCTAAATCTACCCTAAATAGAAATTTCTACCCATTGCCCAAATCGTACCATCTGTGGCTAATGAATTAATTAGTTGGCAAGCATTTATTAAGCATCTGCTCTGTGCCAGGTGCTGTCTAATCCCTCTTCTTTGTGGGGACACCATTCTGTTCGGCTCCCGTCCTTCTTTCTCCTTCTAACTGACCATTCCCAGGCTGATCGGGGAGCCCGGCACATTGTAAGCCCTTAATAAAGCCTTGTTGATTGACCACTTCCTTCTACAGATGCTTGTTGGAATATGTTCCTCAGGCTCCTCTCTAGTCTATAGCTTGTAAGGGTTCTTGACAAAATGGGAGCCCAGAATCAAACACAAAACTGCGGCGGATGTGGCTGGACCCGACGGGGGCTCGCACCTCCTGGATGCCATGTCTCTCAAGGGGGCCCCAAAGCATGTTGGCCTTTTGGTTATCCTATCACATTATGTGCACTACGTGCTCACTGAGCAAGCATTTAGCAAGCCCCTCCTATGCGTTAGGCACATCCTGAGCTCCTTCGGCGGTATCCCTGTTACTTGGCTTGCCACGTGAATATGCCCTTGTGTAGCAGAACCTTCAGCCTTGATGTCTACTCCTCACACAGAGCTGCTCACTGAGGGCTGGCATCATTCCTCCCTGGCTTGGTAGCAAGCTCCTGCCACAAACAAATTCAATTCATCAGACATTTATTGATGCTGTGGTCCCTGCTTGCCTTCAAGAAGCTTTCAATCTACTGTGTGGCTATGACACAGTAGAGACAGAAGTATAATAAGTGAGGTCTGGGGAGACACCAGACGCATGCTCAGGGGGCAGAAAAGAAAGCTTCATTTGTTCAACATTTATTGAGATCCCACTATCAGCAAGGTCCCCTGTGATGCAGAGGAGAGAAACATAGAACCTGAGAGTTAGCTACTCATCTAACCCTAGGATTCTCTAGGGCTATGCCAGGACAGGGTGCTAGGGGGCGTCATAGTGCACAGAGCCCTGAACTTGGAGTCAGGGAGACTTATCATCCTGAGCCTCAGATACCTCAGATAGCTGTGTAACCCCGGGTAAGTCACTTCACTCTCTTTGCCTCAGTTTCCTTATCAGGAAAATGAGCTGAAGAAGGAAATGGCCAACCACTCCAGTGTCTTTGCCAAGAAAACCCCAAATGGGGTGACCGAACAATAACAGACATGCCAGGAGAGTGTGCACTCTGAGATGACCTACCCAGCTGAAAACAACTGAATATGGAGTACTGAGTCTGTCATCTTATGACCATCCATGCTAAAAGCTGAGGGGCTTACCACCAGCTTAGCCATATTCTAACCACCCTAGACTCCCCCAGGAAATCTAGGTGAGATGGCTCTGAGAGAGTATACCTCAAGGAGAAAGAGAAGGATAGGATGGGTAAAATGGAGTTGGGGGGTGGGCGGGAGGGGGAGGAATGGGGAATAATGTATATTTTTAAAATACATGCTTATGTGAGAAAATCCAGGGACTGAATAGGGGAGGCATGGGTGAAGAGACGGGGAAAGAAACACGAGTGATGTCATTGGACACCGCCCGGACAGAAGGCAGAGATAGAGAAGGCATGTGGGAAGCACGTTAAAAGCCAGAAGCATTATGTAATAGGATGCAATAATTGTACATTTGCTGGAACTCTCCCTGCCAGAGGGACCAGAGATCATTATTCTCTGGTTTGCTTAATGGTAATGCCACCATCCAAATGGTGAATTAACCAGGGAGGGAAGTGGCTCGATCTCATTCTCGCCAGCAGGGAATTCGAGGTGGCTCGATTGGAAGTGATAGAAACTCTGGGGGGAAGTCACTGCTGTATTTTAGAATTTGTGTTAGAAAAGGAGACGCAAGGCAGACACAGTCTGATGTGCAAGCTCAGTGCTGGTAGGGCAGATTTCAAAGGACCGAGAGAAAAGATAGACTCTCATGGACTAAAGTTCTCCAGAGAAAGTCAGTCCAGGTGGAATGGGAGGGTCTCAAGAATAAAATTCTGAAGACAGAAATACAAATTTTGCAATAATTATTTTGTAGCAGTAGAATATAAACTTCTTGAGGGCAGACTAATTTTTTTTAATATCCCTAGTGCCTGGCACATCATTTGTTTTTGTTACTCCATCATGTCCGATTCTACATGAACCCATGCACAAATCCACGGGTTTTTTCCGGCAAAGGTAATAGAATGGTTTGCCATTTTATTCTCCAGTGTGTCCCCATTTTATAGATGAGGAACTGAGGCAAATAGGGGTTAAGTGACTTGCCCAGGGTCACACAGCTAGTAAGTGTCTGAGGCCAGATTTGAATGCAGATCTTTCTGACCATAGTGCTGGTGCTCTATCCACTGCATCACCTTCCTACCCTTTGGCAAATCATGGAGCTTAGTAAATGTCTTGGATTCATTGTCTGATGAGCAATTCCGATGAGAACTTGTCAAAAGGGACTAACGTGAATGCACGGGCAACTCACCAACCAACAGATTTTTAAAACTCATGTAAAGACGAAGGGCGCAAGGGCAGGTTGGAGAGGATGAATCCAAAACGTTGGTGTGGCACTGGAAGCAGAATGTCAGGAAGGCTGGTGGGGAGGATGGGCTGGGGAGGGGGGCTGTTGTGGGCCAGGACAGTGATGGAACTGGGGAGGCAGGTGCTAACACCCTCTTCCTCTCTCCTTGCTTCTATACCACCTGGGGCTGCTGTGAGCAAGGAAGCAAGTTGCGTCAGTCTGGGACGTGGGGGGCAGGATTGGCTGAGGTGGATCGTTGAAAAAGAAGAATAGAAAAAGTTTTGGGGCTTCAGCAGGAAGCTCCTGCGACCCCAGGGAACTCTCCCTACTGATCTCCTCCTTAACTGCCTTGGGAATTGCTTTTTACCAAGAAGTATTTGAATATATTTTTATTAAATGGATTGTATGTTTGAATCCTCGGAGTCTGAATGAGCCATTGTATTAGATGTCGAATAGCAGAATAGAAAGATGCTGAACACAACAAAAAGTCTTTTTTTTTTTTTAAGTCACAGGTTCGGCAAGGGCCAAACAAAGATAACCAATGGAGAGATGAAATGGAGTAAGCAGAGAGCTGGTATAAGGCCCCCCGCCACCCTTGCTGAGTCTGAGTCACCAGGCCCAGATGTGCCACAGTTTTGGACTGGCTCAGCTCCTGTCAGGGACGTTGGAAAGTTGGGGGAGCACAGGGGGGCTCCTGCAGGACAGATGTGGGCCAGACCTTCCAAAAGAGAAGACGGTAGAGTCTCCAGCCTATAGACCAGTGAGCTTAACTCTGATTCCTGGCAAAATCCTCGAATGTACCCTTGAAGGGCTGCTTAGTAAACATCTAGAAAAGGGATCCTGAGGGCTTCCTCAAGAGCAGGCTGCCTCAGCTAACGCAGATTTCTTTTCTGGGAGGACCACAAGGAGATGCGCAGACCAGGGGCATGGGATACACATGGTTAACTTAGGTTTGGGCAAGGTATTTGATCTGACAGGACTTTCTGCCTCTCCCTCTCTCCTCCTTCTGCTCCCCCCTTCTGTCTCTCTCCATCTATCTGTTTGTCTCGGTCTGTCTCTGTCTCTGTTACTGAACGCGCCAGCCTATGCCATGAGAAAACAAACCACTTACCAGAGAAATGTTAGTGTTGTTCGGCACCAGCGGAGCTGAAGCATTGAACGTGGTTGTGTTTGCTGTGGAAAATGAATTTGTGAGTGGGTCAGCAGTGTCTGAGGGGCAGCTTTTGGGTGCCCCTGTCCTTCCCAGCATCCTAGCTGTCCCCTCACGGCCCTCTGGAGCCAGGACTCCAGAGAGACCCGATTGTCAGACCTCACACCTTGGGGCCTCTCTTAGCCAGATCTTTCTGATAATAATAATAAGGATCACAATAACAACACTATTAAGAGCTCCCATTTATACTGTTTTAAGGTTGGTGAAGGGCTTTGCCTCATCTCCTCTCTTTTGGTCCGGCTTTGGGCCCCTGGGTTGCTCAGAGAGGTGTGAGCAGAGGTCACAGATTTTCTCACTGGCTTCCACGAGCCTGGCCCACCAATAACTGTGAACTCCTGCTGGACACTGAGGGGTGAAGGCCGATGCCAAAGCCCTTAGTGGGACACCCAGGTCTACTGGCAGCTGTTCTGTCTCCCTGTGAACGGTGCACTGGGTGATTCACCGGGGGGTCACTGAGCCCATTTCTGGACAGCGGGGCCGATCCTGGCTTCCGAGAAGACCATGGCACATGGCACCCAAGGGGATGAATTAGGCCTGGAGCACTCCAGTGGCAGAGAGGGGCCTTGGCTTGTCAGAAGCCTCCTGGCTCTGCTATCTACCAGCTGTTGGGCCACGGCCAAGTACTGCACCTGTCTGAGCCTCAGTGTCCTGATAAGTCAGGTGAGCCTGAGACGGGCATTAGCAGCCACGGGCTGGTTGGGAGGAAAACTCTCTGTAAACTGTAAAACCCTCCCTGAGAGGCGAATGACCAGTCAGCCTAAGAGCTTTGCTCTGTCACCTGCCCTTGCCTTCCTGGAGCATTCAGCAATTCAAATCACTGTTTGAGGCCCTGCCTTTTGGGTCATCAGAATGAAAGACTCTACCTAGCTCTGGAGGAGGGCTGAGGGCCTGGGGACGCAGCTACAAGGATGCCCATGGCTTCTGTGGATGCCTCGAGTGAAGGTTGCCAAAGCCCCCTCCACCATCCTGGGGATCACGAGAGCCAGCCTGGGTTCCTGGTTCTTCCACCTGCTAGCTGTGTGACCTGGACCAGTCACCTCCCCTTGGGGGAGTGGAAGGAGTACTGAGGATGTGGTTCTGAGGCCTGGCTCCTCTAGAGACTTCAGTGGAGCCCCTTCACCTCAAAGGACCTATTTCCTCATTTGGAAAAGGAGGAAGTTGGATCAGATGATCTCAGAGATCCCTGCAAGCTTGAAATGAATGATCTTATGACTTTCCTGGGCCTCATTTTCCTGTCTGTAAAATGGGAGTAATGGTGCATTTCTGCCTAGCTCAGGGCTAAATATGAGGGGCTCTCTAAAAGCTGTAGAGGGACTGACATAAAGATTGGGCTTCTGGCTTCGTGAGTATAGGGAATTCCCTAGTGGGGAACCTCCCTCTGCAGGTGGAGATAAGCCCCTTCTTTAGAGAGCTGCCTAGAACACGAAGAGATATGTGACTGGCTTAGGGTCACTCCACCAGGTTATGTTAGAGGCTGGGCTTGAAGCTCGGTCTTGGTGGCTTTGAGGGTAGCCATGCCACAGGCCTCTGCAAACAGTAAATCCCAGAGAAAATTATGATTTACCCCTGTTCTTACTGTCAAGAGCATAGGAGCAGAAGATTTCCAGCCATAAGGGGCTTAGAGATCATTTAGACAAAAAATCTCATAGGTGAGGAAACTGAGGGCATTTGGGAAAACCTCTCCTGTCAGCAGTTGAGAAGGACAGAAGGAAGGCAACCTTCTCCCGGGAGAGCTGACTGGAACGTCTGAGACGTCTGTAATTCTAACATGGCTGTGACAACCTCGATGAAAGTCTTCATTTCACAAACTCCTGTTGATTGAAACTGAAGGCCAACAGGGAGTATGATATTTTTCGGTGTGAAAACTGAGACTTGGAAAAACAAAGACAGTTCTACCTGCGCTGGGCTGAGGGTCCCTATAGGGCATTGTGGAGTGAGGTAGGAGGAGGGGGCACCACTGTTGGGGGCCTCCTCTCTCTCACTTCCTTTGGCAGCCCTCTCTTCCTTTTCTCTTCCTCCTTCCCTGCTCTGTCTCTGTCATCTCTCTTCTCACAGGGCCATAGAGTTGGAAGGGAGATCAGAGATCATTTGTCCAACCCCACCTGAATAAGAATGCCTACCCAATGGCTTATCTCCCCTTCATGTGATAAACAGTATGTTGAAGGCACCTCTCAGTCACACTCGGGATCTCTCTCTTCCCTCCCTTTTCTTTTTTCCCTCTCTCCCTCTCCCTCTTTCTACATCCCTCTCTCCCATCTGTTTCTCCCCCCATCGGTCTGTCTCTGTCTCTCCCTCCCTCTCCTCCCTTTTTCTCTCCTTTCCCTAACTCTCTCCCTCCCTCTCTTTTCTCCGCATCCCTCTCTCCTCCTGCCCACCTCCCCTACCTCCATTGTCTGTCTCTTTCCCTGCTTTCTTCTCTCCTCTGGATCTATGGTTTCATTAGTGTAGGGTGCTCCCAGTGAAGGAGCTTCCTCCACAAAGGCAGATTGGCAATTGGTCTGTAACATCTAGTCTTGCAGAGTTACCCAGGGAACTGAGAGTTTCTGGGACCTGACAAGGGTCACCCACAATCAGTGTGTGTCGGAGGTGGGGTGTAAACCCCTGCCTTTTTCTCTTAATCCTTTTTTTCCTCCTCTTTCCGTGTCTTAGGCCTTTCTGTGGCCCCAGTGACTCCCATGGGCCCTGCTTGGAGTAGCCCTCCCGATGGTCCCTGAGCCCCCCCCCAAATACTGAAACACAAACTGGGGTCTGCTCATAAATCTTCCCTTCCCTGTGTCTATATCTCATATGTACCTGGTTTTTCACATGTTGTCTCCTCCCCATTAGGATGGAAGCTCCTCCAGGGCAGGGACTGTTCTGGCTTTTCTTGGTATCTCCAACACTTACATGATGCTGGGCATATATTAAGTGATTAATAATGGCTTGTTGACTTGACTTCTCCTTTCTGACTACACGCCCTCCTTGAGGAAGCACATGCTTCCCCAGGCTTTTGTTTTATGGTAGCTTTCTTTTTCTCCTGCAGCAGGGAAAGGGAAGGTGTAGACCTGAGGGGACAATACTCTGGGGTGGCCTTGACCGTGGTCTGTGCCCAACGTGGGTCCAGCTGCTGCTGTGATTTGTATACCCCTTGGTGCTGAGTGAGAAGTGGAGCGGTAATTGTGATAACTTATAATCATAGCTCAGTGCTTCTGCAGCTGAGATTTCTAAGTGTAAGGATTATTGCCCTCATCTGACAAATGAGGACACTGAGGCTTGGAGAGGCCACACCGATCTTGCCACTCCTCACTAACATTTACATAATGTGTAAAGTGGACAGAAGCACTTTCTGATCCTTGCAATGGTCCTGTGAGGTAGGGGCTACTTTAACTCCCATTTTACAGATGAAGAAGCTGAGGCTGAGAGAGATGAGGCAGGATCTGAGTTCAGGTCTTCTGACTCCAAGTCCAGTGCCCCCTTCCAGAGGCTTGTGGCTATATGCTTGGCACATGGTAGGTACTTAATAAATGCTGATGGAGGAAATACGATCTGGGGGAAATGAAGCCAGACCTTCACTCTGTTGTACGGTAGCCCGGGTAGCTCAATGAACCATGGAGGCAGCGGGTGCCAGGCTAAAAGCATCGTCTGAAGGCCAACCACTCCCTAATGTTAGAGCTCTCAAGGGGCACGTGGGCCCTACCAATTAGGGAACCGGTTGTGTGGCCTCCTCTGAGTCATAAGCAGCTTCCAGAGCCAGACCTTGTTACGATGCCTTCTGCTTTAAACAATGATTGTCCAACCTAAAAATACTGTTTGTGTTTATGAAGGCCCTTATGCCATTTTCCAAAAAAGCTACATCAAAGTGAGGAGGAAAATATGAACAGTTGGTGGCCAACATGGTGGAAAGGGTCCAGTTAAGAGGGTTGTTCATGGTTTGCCTTGATACTCACATGGGTTTGAAAGCAGCCAGATAGGAATGTGCAGCAAAGATAAATAAGGTAGAAATCAGTCACAATAATAAAAACAGAAGGAAAAGTTTCCCCAAAGAGAAGAGTGGAGCACCCCCAAATAACTATTTTACCATCCAGTCGAGTTTTACTGTAGATCTGGAATGCAGAGAAACTATGGGGAGGCAAATGGTCTGTGAGCTACAAAGGGAGGAATGGGTCTTTGTGTAAAAAAACATCCTCATCATTCCCACCCTCCACCTCCCCAGTGGGAAGGAGCCGGCATTGTATAGTGGCAAGGACCCTAGACTTGGCATTGCAAGTCTGAGGTTTGCACCTGGCCCTAAAGGCCACTGGAAGTCTCCATGACCCTCAGCAAGTTAGTCACAGAGTTAGACGGAAAGGGGAGTAAGGGCCAGCTCGTTCAAAACTTTCCTTTTACAGATGAGGAAACTGAGGCCAGGAGGAGTGAAGAAACTTGCCCGGTGTCATACAGGAAGTAGGCAGAGGGCCAGGACTGGAATCTAGGTCACCTGGCTCCAAATCAGGCCTCTTGCCACTACCCCACATTTCTGTGTCTTGGTTTCCACCTCTGTAAAATGGGAATTAGCAAGCTCTGTGCTCCCCTCACTTCTGGGGCAATCGTGAGGAAAACCCTTCCTTGGGCAAAAAGGCCAAGTTCTTGGGTTGTGAACCTGAGCTTCTGGACCTGCTTGTGCACATACACACACACACATGCATACCCATATTCCCATTATGCTCTGGGTCTCAGTTGCTTAGCTTTTTCACCCTGGGCATCAGCTACAGAGAAAAGCCTAGAGCCCTCATTTCATCTAAAACCTGCCTTTTCTGATTAAGCTCTACTATGGATAGAATATCAGCCCTGGAGTCAGGAGGACCTGAATTCAAATCTGGCTTCAGACGCTTGACACTTACTAGCTGTGTGACCCTGGGCAAGTCATTTAACCCCATTGCCTAGCAAAAACCAAACCAAACCAAAACAGAGCTCTACTGTGTACCCTCTGGCCTGTCCCAGGAGCCCCAAGACCAGACCCCCCCCAGAGCAGTCCCCTTTGGCAGCTGCCAGTGAGGGAGGGAGGAAGGGAAGCGTGGCGACTCAGCCAGGACGGCCTCCTGGGTCACCTGTGTCAGGGGCGACGCACTCGCACTTGTATGTGGTGATGAGGTCAGGATTGAAGTCCGTGTTGATGGGGTAGTATACGAAGGCACTGATCATCTTCTTGATGGCGTCGTAGATGAAGATGAAGCTGATGAGGGTGGAGAAGCCTTCCTCGGTGAAGCGGGTGATGTACTTTATGATGAAGCTGGCGTCCGTCGCCACCAGGATGAGGCACTGCAGGGCGGAGTGCAGGCCTATCCACAGGCGGAACTCCATGTAGTCGATGCCGTTACTCCTGGCAAGGCGTAAAGACAAGAGGTCTTGGAGCCTGGAGCCAGCACGCAGGTGGCCAAAGGCCTGAATGTTAAAAGGACTGTCCCAGTCCCTACCGACTGATCACTGCTTGCCTCACCATGGCACCAGCTGGACTGGGAGACGTTGGTGGAGCGGTGATGGGGAGTAGGGAAGGTACCTAGGACTTGGCACTTTGCCTGAGACTTTGAGAATTCTGGGGAGAGCAGAGTAGGGGGGTAGTAAATGAGGTGGCCTAAAAGATGAGCATCACCATCCTTCCGTTCTTCGTAAGGGCAGAGAGGTGGTGCAGTGGACGGAACACCAGACCTGGAGTCGGGAAGACCTGAGTTCAAGTCCTAACTCAGCTGCTTACTACCTGGGTGACACGGGGCAATTCACTTAACCTCTGTTTGCCTCAGTCTCCATATCTGTAAAATGGGGATAAAAACAACCCTTTCTCAAAGTCGTTGTGAGGTTCCAATGTGGTAATGATTACCAACACTTAGCGCAGTGCCTGGCACATGGTAAGTGCAATGTGAATGTTAGCTGTTGCGATAATTATTATAAACAAGCGGAGACGAAAAAGGCTACTGAATCATAGGGTTTTTGTGCCGGGAGGCTACCAAGTGTTTGATGTTTGGGGAGCCCAGTGACATGGGCTTATACCTGTTATTAACTTGGGACCCGATTTGGTTTTGATATTTTCATAAGGACAGAGACTGGGGCCGTGATTTCCTTGCTATAGGGACTCCTGGGTGAGGAAACTCTCTCCACCAATGCAGGTTGGCCTTTCGGCCCCTGAAGTTCAACAGAGTTGCCTCGAGGGTGGAGGAGTCACCTGGCTTGGATATGTCAGAGACACAACCTTAACCCAGGTCTTTGGGCTTCAAAGCCAACTTTCTCCTCTCTGTGCATTCTCTATGTTTTCATAATATGATACAATCTTAAGGGTTGGAAGGAAATTCAGCGCGCATTTAGTCAGACCTTTTGCCTCTTCTCGGGTATCCCTAGCAAACAGCCACCCAGCTTCTGCTTGTATGCTGTGCTTTCGCTGGGGAACCCAGCCCTTGGCCCGTGGTCCCTTCCCGCACTGGGGCTCGTCGGCAGACTCCAAGGCCGCCAGGACGGCTGTACCTACTTGCTGAAGTCGAACAGGAGTTTTTCGAAGATCAGAATGGGCCCAGTGCTGCTGAGAATGATGAGGGGTTGTCCAGCAAAGAAACAAAACAAGGAGCCGGCCATTGCAGTGCCCAGGAAGCTCTCCATCACGCCCTGGGGAGGGCAGACAAGGGCAGGGTCAGTGATGTCCGGCAAAAACATGATTTCTTGGTTCTTTCTCTTTTTCTTACAGTGCCCCCCAGCCCTAGCTCCCTACTTTCTAACGTTCCCTCTTAATGCCCAGTGCTCATTCTCCCCCTAGCCCGCTGCTCCTGGCTCTTGGGCCTTTAAATCAGGTTGTCTCATCCTGGAGCTTCCCTCTGGCCCTGGAGCATCCCACCCTCCCTGGAGCCGCTGCCTAAGTTACAAATCCAAGCTTGATTTATTGTTTGGCTCACCATGAAGAATTAAGAGAGGGAAAGACTTAATTATGCAAATTAAACTTCAAAGTGAGTGTGTCTTGCTTACAAAGTTTTTTTTGGAGGGGAGGAGAGAACGATCTGTTTCCCAGCATGCCCTGCCTAAGGCCTTCTGCACTTGGGACATCCCTCTGTAGGGCCCATCCCTTCTCCCATTGAGGCGTTCTTCCACTTTGTGGAAGGGCCCAGGCTGGCCCTCATTCCCTTCCTGGCCCCCTCCTGACTTCTGGAATCCAAACCATGCCCCCACACTAGGTCCCTCCCCACCCTTCCCCTTTTGTGTGTCGTTTTCAAAAACCCCATTAGAATGTAAGCTCTTAGAGGGCAGGGGCTTTCTGTGCCTAGCACCTAGTAAGCAATAAATGCTTCCTTCCTTCCTTCCTTCCTTATCTACTTTTCTCTCTCTTAACTTACCATAATCACTTCTCCTAACCTGGAACCCATCCCCCTCAAACAGCTCTGGACTTTGATGTACCAGAATCCCTTCTAGCCTGATCACTGCACTGGGGAGCCAGTGCCGGAGACAGAGTGATAGCCCCTAAGACTTGGGAACAAACTCCTTTGTTTGAGTGTCTGTGACTGAGCCCAGCTTTTCTCCAGGAAGCCCTGCACTATAGTCATGAAACTGTGTTCTAAAATCCTGCTGCGTCCTGAGGATTCTAGATCAGCCTACATCTAACAGAGGTCTGGGCTGAGATTGAACTGTGATCTGTAATGTCTGAACATCACCTGGAAAAGTGACCACGTTGTACCTTTTATGTGTAGGTAACATCTGTGTAGATAACATTATTTAAGTTCGATCATTTGAACAGAGTCCTATCATTGTGATTAAAAATGGGAAATTCACAGTTGTGATCCGGCTCTCTGCTGAAATACTAGCCGTGTGGTTTAGAGCACATGGCCACCTGGTGGTGGCGTCCTCTCCTCAGGCTTGGCTCTGTCCAGTGATGGAGCTGGACACTGCACACCTGGAGATACAAACCGGGTGACCTCTGCTCACATCACCTCACTCGGGCATACCTGGTAATTGTCCGTGGCATCCCCCAGAAGCCCTCCAAAGGTGATGGCGTTGGTGATACAGCCGAGGTAGATGAAGAGGATGGCGGAGATGGACTGGATGTGGAATCCTTCATAGAAGTCACTTGGGAACCAGGGCAGCTTCCTCTTAATGTCCAGGCACAGGCCCCCGAAAAGCCTGTTCAACACACAAGGGAGACATCTTTGTAGTTGGGAGCCCAGTCTCTAAGGAGAGTGGAAGCTCCCTGAGGGAAAGAGGAGATTGTTGGCTTTGTCTTTCCCTCTATGGAGCCTGATCTTAGTAAAGGACTTCACAAATTGGTTTGTATACATGACAGCATAATCAAACCTTGCCCGTTGGAGATGCTTAATAAATACTTGTTGAACTGAACTGGTGGATTGGGGTCTAGGTAATTAGCTGGTTGGTGGAGGGGGACAAACATTTACTAAGCACCTACTATGTGCCAGGCATTTTACAAATGTTATCTCATTTGATCCTCCCAGTGACCCTGGGAGGTGGGTGCTATTATCACCTCCATTTTACAGATGAGGAAATTGAGGCAGATAGCAGTTCAATGACTTGCCCAAGTTACACATGTAGTAAGTGTCTGAGGCCAGGTTGGAGCTCAGGTCTTCCTGACTCCAGGACCAGCACTCTGTTGCTACCAGGTGCCTCAGTAAATAAGAAAATTGACATTGAGAACTGAATACTAACCCCCCCCCCCGGGCCCCTAGGCAGAATCAGAGCCCAGGAGGATGGGCAGAACTAGAGACAAAGGAGGGAACCCCTGGAGTCCCAAGGATGTATGGAGGCTGGGGGGTGGGGGAGAAGGCAATTTGATCCAGGGCACTCCGCACTCTAGGCAAGTCATTGTCGGGACTGTAACTTTGCACCATGCATACTAGAAAAGGCGGTATGTGAGGGGACTAATCCCTCATTCCAAGGCATGTGAAAATCTGAGGGCTCCAAGGGCTTAGAGTCGGAGAGACATCTTATTCCCCCAGTCATGGTGGACGTTTAGTTGGTGAAGGGTTGTCATGCTTCATAGGAAATAGGAATAGCCAAACTTCTGACAGAAATTTTGGGCTGAGTAGTGAAGGTGATGGACTAGAAATCCACTGGGGTCTCCCTGCCCAGTGCTCACTTCAGGGTTGTTCTGCGATGATTATCAGCATTACAAAAGGCTTTCTCAATGGACAGAAGAACCCCTTTAGGCTTCTCAAGGGCAGCAACTTCACAGAATTTCATAGCTAGAAAGGACTTCTGAGTTCATCTCATTCCATCCATATTGGATGAGACAGGAATCCTCTTTGCCAAATTCTCTGCTAAATGGTCCTTTGGCCTATGTTTGAAGATTTCCAGTGATGGGGAGCGCACTACTTTAAAAGGTACCCCACTCCCCTTTTGGACAGCTGTAATTATTATAAAGTTTTTCCTTAAGTCAAGCCTCAATTTGTATTCTGAAATTTTTACTCAAAGCACCACGTTTTGTTCACTGGGGCCAAGCAGGACATGTGCAATTCTTCTTCCATATGAAAATTCTTCAGTACATTTCAATACAGCTGCCATGTCTGTCCTAAGTGCCTAGCAAGCACTGAACACAAAAGAGATATTAATTATCTGCTGATTTAGTTATTCCCAGTTGGTGCTTTGAGAACAGGGTCATATCCATGGACCTAGAGAGTCATAGTACTTAAGGTTGGAGGGATCTTTTTACTCATCGAGTCTGTTGCTTCATTTTACAGAGAAGGAAACTGAGGCCCAGAAAGTCTCTAATGGTCCCATGGACAGCAAATACCATAGGGAAGATTCGAACCCAGATTCTCTTACTACAAATCCAAAGAGTGGTTGTCCAGCCCAGCAAAGTATCAACGGCGTAAGAGTAAGTAAGGTTGCTGTCGTAAATGAATCTACCCTAGGATGGTTTTGGAGGCTGGGGATGGGGACAGAGCGGGTGCCTACAGAGAGAGGATGGGGTGTAATAAGGAGAGAGAATAAGGTAAGAAGAAATGGAAGGCATAAGTCTGGACTGTACCTTCCTGTCCAGACGAGCTCTTCTCCAATTTCATGCACCGCCGGCATCTCACCATCTTCACCACCACCGTCTGCCCCGCCTCCTCCTCCAGCCCCAGCCCCAGCTCCGCCTCCCACAGATCCGTTCATCTGTCCCAGCTCATTCAGAGAGAACACAGACTTCCTGCAAAGAGGAAGCGGGTGAGAAAGATGCCAGGTTCTGTCTGTGCCTGGCTTGCTCTGCCTGGGATCCCCTCCTGGCCCCCGGGGTCCTCTCTTACCTCTTGTCAGCAGAAGGCACTTTCTTTGGGGGCTCAATCCGGATATTTGGGTCCCACTCTCCAGGGGGCAGGACGATCACCTCGTCCAGGAATTCGTCAATGCCAGCGATCAGGTCATCTCGGTTTCGGGCTTTGTAGGCCACGTCACTGAAAAGCTGAAGCCAAAAGTGGGAGGGGAAGAGACAAGCATGTCCAGACTTTGAGGCTGCCTGAGGACCAGTGTGGGCTCTGGCTGAAGGTCACAGAAGCACAGCCCTTTGAGTTTAGGTTTCCACTTCAGACTCTGCCCTTTAGGGGGGAGCGCTTACTTCTCAATGGCACAAATCTCTTCTTCTTAATTGTTATTAGGGAGGTGGGAGTTATGTAAAGAGTTCTGGTTTTAGAATAAAAAGATGGCAGTGCTAATTCAGGCTCAGCCATCTGTGTGTCTGTGAGGCAATCACCCAATCTTGCTGGGCCTCAGTTTCCCTATCTGTAAAACGAGGAGGTTGGTCTAAGAGGTCTGAGCTCCCTGCAGGCTTGTGGGAGGGGCTCAGACTTAGCCTAGGCAGATCATCACTGGAGATGTGTAGGTATTTGAAGCCCATTTATAGCTTTCAGACCTTTGGCCTCTGCAGCTTCCAGGATTCCCTCTTTCTCTTGTTTAGTTACTACCTCTGGCTCCATCCTCCACAGGCCCAGCTCTCTCTGACTGCTCCTGCCTTTGGTTCTGGCTCAGACATCCCTGTCCCCAGCTCTCCCTCCAGCCTGGAGAGTTATCTCTGGTGTGACTCTGGAAGCACCCAGGGGGGCCAGGCTACTTACGTCATCGACCATGAGGGTCGCGATGGCCCGGCCGATTTCATTGTAGGATTTGGCTTTCCCGTGAGGGCCTAGAAGGATGAACAGGAATCTGGGAAAAAGACACAGAGGGAGGATAAAGCTCACATGACAGCCCTTTTCCATGGACAAAACACCTTCTCAACAGTAGATGGGGGCCTGGCTTTTTATACCCATTTTGCAGATGAGGAAGAGGAAGAACAAGGACAGAATGGAGATGTCTTGGACACAGAGAAATGTCTTTTCTTAAAATCTTATTATGCTTCAGCTGACTCCCTCTGTCCTTTAAAATCTATGTGTGTATAGGACTAGAGTCTGGACTTCTGATTACAATGCTATAGGGAACTTCTGGGTGAGCAAACTCTATCCACTAAGGCAGGTGGGTACTTTATCTGCAACTTAGTCTTAGAAATGGTTAACTTCAAGGTTAAGTGACTTGCCCAGGGCCTCACAGCCACGCTGTGTTTGAGGCAGGACTCGAACCCAGCCCTCAGGTCAGCTCTCTCTTCACTACACTATGTATGTAAGTCTGCTGCCTGTGTGTTCAGAGAAAAAAGTGACACTTGTTTGCAGCCTCATCTCTGAGCTCTTTTTTCTCCAATCCTTTTTTCTCCCCTTGTGCCCCATGTCCAGATCCCGACTGACCAGCTTCCTTCAGGCTCCTCAGTGCTCTTCCATGAAGACAGTGGCCCCCTGCATTGCCCAAGCCCAAAGGCACCTGGGCCTCCCTTCTCATCACAGCTGGTGTTCCTTTATTCGTCCTCCTTACAGAGCGGATCATAAGATCTAGATCTGGGAGGGACCCTGGAGGCCATCCTGTCTGACCCCCTCATTTTACAGAGGTGGAAACTGAGGCCCCAGGATATTAAAGAGCTTCCTATGTTGACTGCTTGACTGACTAGCTCCCCACCACTGGGGTGGTTGGCTTACATGGCCACTCACCTAGTGGGAACAGGCACCTCGGTCACCCCTCCCAGCATGGTGGACTGGATAAGACGGACAAAAGCGACAAAAGGTTGGTCCAAGAAGTCCACCTCTCCCACCAACACATTGGAAGCTTCCGAGTCCTTGGGAATCTTCTTCATGAATTTGTTTTTCAGCTGTTTTGGGGGAGATAACACAAGAAACACAACATCTCATTCGCCACCGTGATGCCTCGGTTTAGACTTCATCACTGCAGGGGCATTGAGCCACCGCCCGGCTCCTGAATCCTGTATTCTAACTCCCTGGCCACAGTCTCCTGTCCATCCTCTCTCCTTATTCCTTCCCTCCTATCGTCCCTGCTTGGGCCTTCACTGTGACTTCTGGCTGCTTCGCCATCTTGACTTTCCTTCCATTCTGGCTTCACCTGCCACCCTGTTCACAGTTGGCAAGTTCTCTGTTCCTGTTCCCAGGTAGCTGAAGACTCAGCTGATGTGACTTACCTGTGTGAAGCCCTCCCTCAACCCCCTTGGTGTAATCTCCCTCCTCAAATTTTCTAGCGTTTTTCTCTCTGGATAATGTTGTATCCCCCAAGTAGCTGGATGGATGGACAATGCATTTATCGAGCGCTCACTGTGAGCCAGCCATTGGTGAGGGCTGGGGATACAAACACAAGAAGACTAGATGGTCCTTGCCCCCTGGAGGCTTTCTCTCTAACAATGGAAGAAGGCACACAAAGGGGCTTAGAACAAACGCCCGTGGAAGGGCAGGATCTCTTTTGTTTTCATATTGGCCCTAGCACCAAGCACGGGTCCTAAGTGAGTTAAATGAGTTTCCCTGAATCGCTGTTTTGCCTGTGGTGGAGGTGGGAGGAATGGCCCAGGAATCTGATGTAGAGCAAGCTGACCTTGGCTCACAGACTGTGTTCTGCTCGACCCGGGCCCTTTGGCCAATTCATGGTGTTACTGAAGCACTTAGTGGGCCAGCTGCCTGCTTGGCATCAGAATCCACACATCAACATGAGGAAGGGACCTTCGGGGGAGGCAGCTTGGAGGAAATGAGGAAAAGTGCCAGGGCAGTCTCAGTGCCGAGGGGGCTCAGAATAAACAAAGGCAGGCATCGGCAGGCATCGCTAAACATTCAGTGGCCCTGAAAATCTCTCTGTGGTGGGAGTAGCCAGTCGCTGAGCTCCAACCTTCTGTGGGGCTCAGGGCTGGCATTTCAGGTGTCACCCTTCCTGCTGTGGTCTCGGACACCAGCCTCTTCGCCGTTGCCTGCACACGTCCCGCCATCTCCTGACTCTGGGCTGGCTCCTTCCTAGAAGCCTCCCCCTCCCCGTCTCTGCCTCCTGGCTTCTTTCAGGTTCCAGCTAAAATCCCGCCTTCCAAAAGAAGCCTCCTCCTGCCCCCGAGCACTAGTGCCTGACTGGTTGCCTCCACCCTGTCCTGTGTCTGGTTTGTACACGGGTGCTTTGTGTTGACTGCCCCACTAGACTAGAAGCTCCTTGAGGGCAGGGACTGTCTTTGGCTTGGTTTGTATCCGCAGCATTTAACACAGTGCCTGGCACATAGTAGGCACTTAATAAATGCTCATTGACAGACCGACAGTTACTCAGGGTCTAGCCTGGTGAGGGATGGGAAAGGACAAAAGTCAGTGGCAGGAGCTGACTGGAGAGGGAGGAAGGCCACAGTCACGGGCTCCTAAGAACAAAAAGGGGCACAGGATTGGAGGTCACAGGATCCTGGATTTGGAGCTGGAGGGACCGTAGATCATTGAGTGTCACCCCCTCATTCAGCAGATGAGGAGCTGAGACCCGGAAAGCCAAAAGGCAGCAGGGTGGTACAGGGGATAGAGTGCTGGGCCTGGAGTACAGAGGACCTGAGTTCAAATCCAGCCTCAGACACTTATTAGCCATGTGACCACGGGCAAGTCACTTAGAATGTCTGCCTCAGTTTCCCCATCTCTACAATGGGATCCACTTTCAAGGGCTGTTGTAAACCTTACAGCACTATACTGATGTGTTAAAGCCAAGATCTGAATACAGGTCTTCCCAACTGCAGATCCCACACTCTCTCCTCCATGCCACTCAGGCTCTCAATGGTCATGCTCTCCCGCCTGTGAACTTCCTGAGAGCCTCCACGGAATTTCAGTGAATGAGGAATGACCAAGATGAGCCCAACTTACACTTCCATAGTCTTCTGTCTTATAAAGAGCTTTCCTCACAATGGAAGAGAGTATTGATCAGAATCATTAACCCCACAGACAAAGCTGAGGTCTGGAAGGTGAGGCATTTTGCCCAAAGGAGTCCGGCTAGTAAGTGTCAAAACTGGGAAAATGTGATGGGAAAAAACCAGACCAAACAGCTTGGAGGCTGCAAACGCTCCTTCCCGCACCCCTGTAGCCTCTGAGGGCAGCTCTAGAAGGAGTGTCCCCACCATCTAGTCTCTGAGAAAACTGTAGTGGGAAGAACATTGGATTGTGTGTCTGGAGATCCGCGTTCAAATCCCAGCCATGCCTCTTATTGGCGTCTTGGGCAATCATTTCACCTGGCTGTTTGTATTTTGGCTTGCCCTCTTACCTCTGTCACCTTGGGCTCTTCACATCCAAACAATGGGCCTCAGTCTCTCTTTTAAAAACGAGAGGGATTGGGGCAGCTAGATGATGCTGTGGATAAAGCACCAGCCCTGGATCCAGGAAGACCTGAGTTCAAATCCGACCTCAGACACATAACATTTACTAGCTGTGTGATCCTGGGGAAGTCACTTAACCCCATTGCCTAGCCACCCCCAGAAAAGGAGAGGGGTTGAACCAAATGGACTTTGAGATCTCCTTCAGCTCAGAATCCTATGAACCTGCCTTTGTTTCCTCATTTGCAAAATGAGGCTATTAATCATTGCCCCACCTCATTGGCAAAGCTGTGATGAGAATTAAGGGGGAGGGGCTGCGAAGGGCCATGTAGACTTTAAAACCCACCATCATTGCCAACACCATCACTGGGCAGCTCAAGGGACCGCTGGACCCAGTGGAAATCTGGCTCCCCATCTGACCAGTGTGACACAGGGAGCTGATAGAGAGATGCAGGTATTCAGAGGGCTTGATTGGAAAAAATGTTAGTGGGCTGCTTCCTGGGGTGCCTATGAAAGACCTTGCAGAGAGTCTTGAGCTATTATTTCATTGAGGGGGTGTGCAAGTCAGTAGGAGGGTGGGAGAATCTCCTTCTTCTGGCGAAAACTGGCAAATCACCTGTTTTTTGATAGTTGTCTGGGAACTGAGATGTTAAATTATTTCCTAGGGTTCCAGATAGCAAGCAACTGACTTCACTTCTGCCTGCCTCAGTTTCCTTATCTGTAAAAGGAAGGGGTTAGACTAGATGACCTCCAAAGCCCCTTCCAGGTCTGAATCTATGATTCTGAAACAGTTTCTCCTAAGAACCCCTACTAGACAATGCTTCTTTAGCCCAGCTCATCGTATGTACTTGTAAGCTGATAATTGCATTTCGAAGAGTCACGGTATTTAGAGTTAGAAGGTGCCTACACCTACCTGCACCCAAAAGGAATCCTCACCATAACGCACCCATCAAGCGGCCCTCCAGCCTCTGCTCAGAGACCCCCTAGGAGGGGGATCCCACCACCTCTGGGGGTAGCCTGATCCACTTTTGCATAGCTCTGTCGTTGGGGATTTTCCTAATGCCAAATATAACTCTGTGTCTCTCAAAACTGTTACTTAGACATATCCCCAACTTCAAGCTTTTATTTGATTCGCACCTGCATCCCTCTCCAACGAGTACCAAATTATGAAGCTTTGTGCTCCAATAAATGCTTTGTTGCTGCCGTTTCCTCTCGTGACCACCAGGGGGTGTGAGAAACCTAACTCAAGCGTCACCTCGGGCATCCCAGCTGGCTAGACTTGGTACCGGGTACCTGGTACAACATCTTTGCATCTCTAGCTCTGCTCACTTCTCTCCTCTCCTCTCCTGCTCAGGGACTTGAATGCCTCCCACTGCTTCCAGGCGGAATTTCCCCATGTTTTTTCATACCTTGGTGTCTCCCATCCAAAGGCATGACCATAGCTCCCACTCAGGGGCTCCAGCACCTTGGGAATGAAGTCGTCTTCCCACTCCCTCCACTTCCTCCCAACAGGCCACATGAGGGGGGCTTTCTGGCCATGTGGCTTGAAGGGGAAGCCATTCCTTGAAACACGGAATTTCAACTCCAGTCACAGCTGAAAGGACTGTGAGGGTCCCACCACATTTCATCCCCCGTCTGGGGAAGTGGGGCATCCTGTAGGCATCTCAGAGGCATCTGAATTGATATTATTTTACTGGACTGGCTAGAATCATAGGACTGAGACCCGGGTGGGATCTTGCTGATCAGGGAGTCTACCCTCCTTATTTTATAGAGAAAGAAACTGAGGGCAGAAGAAGGGAGGGGATTTGTTCAAGGTGCCACAGGTAGGAAGGAACAAGGCTGGGACTTGATCCCAGGTCTTCTCCTTCCAAAGCCAGCGCTCTTTCCCCACTGCCTCCCCAATCAGTCGCCCCCCACCCTGGAGAGTTCTTTTTCCTCTGCTCTATTTGTAATTAAATTCCCAGATTAAATCTGACTTCCTGAAATCTTCTCTGATTATTCTTCCCCTCCCCATTTTGTGCTAAATGCTCAAATACTCCAATGGAATTATGATCTCACTATTTCAGATATTCCCTCCAGTGATGTGAATTTCAGCCACTCTGTGTCGGCCCATCTTGTGGGACTCTCTATCATGTCCTCCCTTAAGGTCATCTAAGGGGGCCCAGCCAATGTGCTGGAGGCCTTCCTTACTACCTGCTCTCATGAACATAACTCTAGGGTAATTCCTTCTTCTTGCTGTGTGCCTAGGCCCTCTTCTTTGGTGATCATTTCCCTTCTCTCTCCCATTACATAATAACCTAGACATTCTCACTGTCAGCGAAGCACTGAATTGTTCAGGGAGGGTCATGAGGACCTCGTCTTACACATCTTTGCATCCATCACAATGATTAATGTAGTGCCTTGCACAAAGAAGGCATTGCAGAAAGATTTGTTGATTCTTGCCACATAGTAGGCACTTAATAAATGTCTGTTGATAGACAGGTAAACAAAGGCAGATTTATGGGTGGGATGGGCTCAGGCACAGACTCATTCAGCTTCTCAGGGTGTGTGTCAGTCAGAGGTAATGGAGAAAAATGGCAGCCTTAAAGTTCTCCCTCAACCCCGCCCTTACCCCAAATTCAGTTGCAAGTCCTGTGGACTCTATCTGTACAGCCTCTCTCACGACCAATCCCTCCTTTCCACTCACACGCCTTAGCCCGGGTCCCCCTACCTCTCACCTGGGCTGTTGCGATCACTTTCTGACGGATTGATGCCCTAGCTTGCAGTCTCTCCCCGTCCCCTCCACCGCCCATTCAGCTACCAAAACCATTTTCCAAAGGCACCAACTGACCATGTCACTGCCCTGCGGAGGCTCCCATTTGCCTCTGTTCAACACCTTAATTCAACAAGCATTTATTAAGTGCCTACGGAGTGTTAGGTAGTCACAAACTCTTTGTTCAACATTTTGAAGCCTTTGTAACCTGGCTGGATCCAGCCCATCATTCTGATCCATTTCATATGCTTTCTCCTCAAATCATCTATGTTCCTTTCCTCAGACCTCGCCCTTCTTGACCTCTCTGTCACCTTCAACACTGTGGACCATCCTCTTTTTTCCAGATGCTCTCTCCTCTCTAGGTTTTCAAGATACTGATTTCTTCTGGGTCTCTTTCCATCTATCCAACGTTCTTCAATCCCCTCTGCTGGTTCTTCATGTCCCAGTCACCCAATATGGCACACCCAACAGAGTGTCCTGGGCCCTCTTCCCTTCTCCCTCTCTATCTTTTCCCTTGGTGATCTCATAAGCTCCCATACATTCAGCTATCATCATTATTCAGACAGCTGGGGATCTGCCTCTTCAGCCCTCGACTTTCTTCTGAGATCCAGTCCTCCATTGTCAGTGGTCTCTTGGGTGCCTCAGACTATATGTCCTATATACATGGCAAAAATAGTCCTTGCTCTGTTCCCACCAAACCATTCCCTTTCCTCAGCTCTTCTATATTTGTTGAGGGCACTAGGCATCTTGAAGTCTTCCTTGACTCCCCACACTCACTCATGTCCCACAGCCAATCTTGTTTCCACCTTTACAACTTCTCTGAGATATATCCCCTTATGGCCACTCACACAGCTATGACCTAGTGCAGGCCCTCATCCCTTCACCACGCCTCAATTATTGCAATAGCTGCTGGAGTGGGGATCTCCTTTCCTCAGTCTGTTCTCCACTCAGTTGCCAAAGTATAGGTGTGACCTCGTCCCCCCTCTGCTCAGTGTGGTCCCTTATTACCTCCAGGATGAAATGTGAGCTCCTCTGACATTCAAGCTCTGCATGACCTGGGCCCTTCCTCTCTTTCTGGGCATCCTGTGATCTGTCTACCCTGGCTTCCTCACAGTTCCTCAAACACGACATGTCACCCCAGGCCTTTGCCCTGGCTGTCTCTCACACCTGGAATGCTCTTCTACTCACCCCTTGGTTTCCTTCCCAACTCAGCTCAAACCCCACCTTCTAGAGGAGGTCTTTCCTGGGAGCCCCAGCCCTGATGCTTTACCCTTTCAGATTGTCTTCTATCTGTCCAGTTATTCATCTGCTTTCTCCTCCACAAGAATGTAAGCTTCTTGAGGGCAGGGACTATTTTTGCTGGTCTTTGTGTTTTGTGTTGTATGCTTCAAGGCACATAGTATGCAATTGCTAAGTGCTTGTTTACTGACTGACCCAGACAAAGTGGCCAACCTGACATACCATCTACAGCCAGCACACCCTTACCCAAGCCGTGCTACAGGCCCAGAATACTCCCCCTCCTCGCCTATACCTCCTCTAATTCCTAGCTCCCTTCAAGGCCCAGCTGGGCTGCCATCTCCCATAAAGTCTTCCTGATCTCCCCAATAATTAGATACTCCTTTGTACGGTGTCCTCTCTCTGTTTCTCTCTCCATCTCTCCCTCTCTCTCTGTGTATATATACATATACGCATACGCACACATGTATTTTGTATTGATTCATCTGTGTTCATGTATCTCCTTGGCAGAATGTAAGTGCTCTGAGCAGCAGCTGTCTCACTGGTCTCTGCATCCCCCGGTGTGGGGCTTAATAAATGTTTACTGAATTTCCTTAGAAGCTTTTCTCTCAGCACATGGAGCTTCCCCAACCCTCACTGCAGGGCAGCTATCTACCCCAGTTCTGAGGCTTTACCACCTACCTGATTTGGGTTTGGGGTGCCCGAAATATCATTCATACTCCGGCTCTGGGCGTGACCTAGGGGAGAAAAACAGGACTTCTTTAGCTGGGGGAATTCCTCTAATCCTGGGGTCCCACTGGCCTTTGGATCTTTGGTCAGAGTGGGGAGATCTCTCCCATCACCTCAACAATCTCATTGCTATCTGCCCTTTTTGTTCCTTCTAGGAATAGTGGTGAATACTAGAGTGAATACAGTGGGTTGGTACCAAGGTCAGCTCCTGCTCAGCCCAGCAAAGTCAGGAGCAGTGAGCTAGCTACACCTTGGAGACGTGCTACTGCTGGACTCACTTGGGAGATGTAGCTCAGAGAATAGGCATAGAATGTCTGAGGTTTAGAACATAGAGCACAGAATGTCAGAGGTGGGAGGGAGCTACATGGAATAGAGGATATCAGAACTAGGAGAGACCTTAGAACATAGAATACAGAATGGGAGAGGTGGGATGGGTCTTAGAACATAGATCACAGAATGGGAGAAGTAGGAGGGAAATTAGAGCATAAAATACAGAATATCAGAATTGGGAGGGAACCACATAGAACAGAGGATATCAGCTAGGAGAGACATTAGAACATAGAACACAGAAGGAGAGAGATGGGAGGGAAATTAGAATATAGAACACAGAATGGGAGAGGTGGGAAAGAAATTAGAACATAGAATACAGAATGGGAGAGGTGGGAAAGAAATTAGAACATAGAATACAGAATGAGAGAGATGGGAGGGAAATTAGAACATAGAATGCGGAATGGGAGAGATGGGAGGGAAATTAGAACATAGAACACAGAATGGGAGAGGTGGGAAAGAAATTAGGACATAGAATACAGAATGTCAGAATTGGGAGGGAACTGCTTAGAACAGAGGATATCAGAGCTAGGAGAGACTTTAGCACATAGAATACAGAATGGCCAAGTTAGAAGGAAACTTAGAACATAAGCAGATTAACATTGGAAGAGACCATAGTTGATAGAGTCAACCAGGTGGCACCGTAGTGCACAAAGCTCTGGATCTGGAGTCTGGAAGACTCATCTCTCTGAGTCCAAATCTGGCTTCAGATGCTAGCTGTGTAACTCCGGGTGAGTCACTTAACCCTGATTGCCTCACTTTTCTCATCTGTAAAGTGAGCTGGAGAAGGAAGTGGCGAAGCACTCCAGTATCTTTGCCAAGAAAATCCCAGATGGGGTCACAAAGAGTCGGACACTACTGAAAATGCCTTAACAACAACTTCTACTACAACTTCCTGGCAGTGGAGCAGGCTGACTTTTAAAAGTAGCTAATTAAATCTGGGTTCTTTCAGTACCTACCTCTCTACTGCCCCATCCTTCTCTGCTTCAGGGGCAGATTTCCATGAGCAGGTTCAGAGACCGCCCTGGCTTGAGCCAGGGATGCCTCCCATAACCCTGCCTATCTCTTGCCAACTCCCAGGCTCAGCCTAAGCCCAGGGACCCCCACCCACGTCAGCACCACCAAGCCCCTGCTGTGAGGAAGTCCACTCTCTCTACCTTCCCTGCACCCTCACCCCACTCCCTGCGTTATCTTTTGCCACATCCAGGATCATCTGTGCTTATTCCACCTTTTAGGGTCTTTCCTTAGAATGATCCGGAGCCGAGGCCCAAATCCCTTTGGCTACTCTGTCCTCATTTTCAGGGAGAAAGAATTAGGTTATTCTGTGTGGCCCCAGAGGGCAGAACTGGGAACAACTGGGATGAAGCGGGGAGATGAAGAGAGGACAATTGTGGCTGGATGTCAGGAACTGTCCCAGAATGAACCGGGCTGCCTGGACGAGGGGTAGGGTCCCCCTCCCTGGAGGTCTTCACCCAGAGGATGGTTTGGAGGGAATGTTATAGGCAGAAGTCTTGCCATGTGGGGCTGGCTACTGAGGACCATTCTGAATATAAACTTTCTGAAATGCTCTGAATGTGGCCACGTCCCCCTAAGGACGAGCTAGAGCAATAAAAAACCTATGCTGGGTGTTCCAGCCCTAAACCTGCTTTGAGCTCAGCCAGGTAATTCAAGCCAGAGACTTGTTTTCTTTCCCTGGAATTACATGGATTCTTTTCTCCAAACCTCTGAGCGTTCTCTCTGGCAGCGGGCAGGCCTGTCTTCATGAACCACATTTTTCTGGCAGATGGGAGTTGGCATCGCTCATGGGGTGCTTACGCAAAGGCCTCCCCCACCCCGGGAGTCCTTGAGGCACATTTGAGTATTCTGACCCCAGGGACCATTTACTGGGGACTGATGCCATGACCCTGGGGGAACCTTGGAACTGGGAGACAAGGGTCTGCAGCTCTGTCCTGAGAATGCCCATGGCCAGGGCTCAAGAAGACTAGGCTGCTTAATTAATTAATTAATATTCTTTGGGCACTTCTCCACCCTGTTCTGCCTTGAGTCACCGCGATCTGTGTACTTGTCTCATCTCCCCTTCCAAAGGAGAACAATGGCTGCATTTCTTGATTGACTGACTGACTGACTGACTGACTGACATTTGGACAAGCTCCAGGGGATGAGGCAGAGCCTTGGACACAATACCCGCTTACAGCCTCCACCCTCTCCCTTTACCAATGTGCCAAGGAATCCTCTTTTTCTTCAGTCCCTCTCTGTGGCACCCTGGATTAAAGATGAATGTCTAAGTCTTGCATTCGAGGCCCTTCAGAGCCTGACCCCGGTCTACCTTCCCAGATTTATTTCATGTTACTCCTCATCACAGCCTTTATGTTCCAGCCAAACAGAACTCTTGGCTTTCCCCCCGTCTTGCTTCTTGCCTCTGCACATCTGTGTTGGCCCCCTCTCGTAGCTGGAATATGCTCCCCAAACATTTGGAGGGCTTTTCATGTCAAGAAGAGATCCGACTTGTTCTCTGACCCCAGGTTCTCCCATGGTTTGCTTCCTTCTGGGCCCATCCAACCTTGTCTAAAGGGGCCCGGAGCAGGCGTCTCACCCCAGAGCTTCACTCACTCGGCAGTCTGGGGCTGATCTCCTGGACACAGCCCCTCAGGAAGTCCATGACCAAAGGCACAGCTGAGGAAAGCCAGAGGCTGTCCCCAACCTTCCCAGGGGAGGCAGGGAGGGAGTGTCACTCAGGCGTCTCAGTTCTGCTCTTTGATGCAGCGTTCAGGTAAATGTCACAAAACACTGAATGGCAATGTGTTTAATGACAATCAGAGGTGCTGGCTTGGACACAGGCCAACTCTCTGAGTGGAAAGTGAATGACAGAGAGCTGGTTTAACCTACACCTGTCCAGAAAGCCCTGCTACAATCTCACCAGAAAGTGGGCCTCGCGAGTGTGCACCTCCTGCCCACCCATGCTCAGACGCCCCCAAGTCAGCGTCTCCTTGCTGATGGACGCTCCTGGACTCGCTCTCGGGCCCAGCCAAGCAAACTTGCTCCCTTCAGTGCCCTCGTGAGCACAAGACTTGGGCACAAGGATGCCCTCCTCGGAGTTAAGCAACAGAAGCTTCCTAAGCGGCGTTTCCCTAGACGCTCCTGGGAATGCTGAGCAGTGCTATCACAATGCTGCCTTAAACCCCGAAGCTGCTGCTGACACAGAGTGGCAGGCCAAGGCTAGCGAGACACTTACACAGCCGTCCATAGCTGGCGTTCTGCCTGGTCCGCAGGTCCTCAGTGGAGTGGTGCAAGTTGGGGCCAGCTGCTGTAGGGCTCCGGGCTGGGCTCCGGTCTGCAAGAAGGACAGAATGGCTTGGTGAGTAGGGACTCGGGCTGATGGACCCCGCTCCCCTGGAGTTATCTGGACCCAGGCTGGGCCGAAGGAAGAGGAGGTTGGTGATGAATATTAATAGTGTGGAGAGATTGTAGGGGAAACTTTTATCCTACTCCCATGGTATATGCAGGAAGGCTCACATCAAATGCAAATTAAAAAGATTTCCTTTCTTTCTTTCTTTCTTTCTTTCTTTCTTTCTTTCTTTCTTTCTTTCTTTCTTTCTTTCTTTCTTTCTTTCTTTCTTTCTTTCTTTCTTTCTTTCTTCTCTCTCTCTCTCTCTCTCTCTCTCTCTCTCTCTCTCTCTCTCTTTCCATCTATCTATTATCTATCTATCACCTTGCAAATTTTAAAGTGAAAATTTTAGGGCTATTTAGATAGCTGTTATTATTATCTTAATCACATAAAACAGATGTGCTAATAGGATCATAAGTTTAGGGCTGGAAGGGACCTTGAAGGTCGTTCTATCCAACCTCCCGATTTTATGGCTGAGGAGCCTGAGGAACAGAGGGGTTAAGTGACTTGCCCCAGATCTCAAAGCTAGTAAGTGTCTGAGTCAGGATTTGAACCCAGGTCTTTCTGACTCCAAGCACAGTACTCTATTCACTATGCCATGAGTAGTTTGAAAAACTCTCAGCAGAGACTAGTAATAATCTAATTATTATACATGCTGAAAAGAAATAATATGTTTTTTAAAAGCATTTTTCAAGTTAAGCTTTTCCCTGAATCAAACTGACCTTTCTGTGTCCCATTTATTCAAACAAGTGAGGTTTTACCATCATGCACTTTGTTTTTAAAATTTTCAAATATATTTTTATTTATTCCATTAAATATTTCCCAATTACATGTAAGAAAAATTTTAACATATGTTTTTTAAAAATTGAGTTCCAAATTCTCTCCCTGTCATCCTGCTTCTATCCCTCAGGAAGGCAAATGATATGATACTGAGAACTCAAAGGAGTGATGGTGAGGAAGGGAGGGCAGAGATGGCCTCACTCAGGTGTGAAACCTCGCTCCTCCTGCCTCACCTGAGAAGGTAGAAAAAGCACCTGCTGCTTGGGGCCAGCCTCTGGCTTTCGTCGGTTGTCCCTTTGGTCGTGGGCTACCTGAGGGTCTCTGTGCAGATCAGCCCCAGAGTGCTGAGTGAGTAAAACCCTGGGGTGGCTGAAGTGGGAATGAAGTGACTGATGAGTGACTGATGGGGAGTGAAGCCATACTCCAGGAAAAGGGAGAGTGGGACAGTGTATTGGGAAATATTGGGACAGGGGTGAAGATGGAGTGCTTAACTTGAACATTCCCTGGTCTCTTCTGACCCTCGGCCCATAGACCTTTCCGCTCCCTTGCTCTAAACCTCTTTCTCCCCACCATTCCTCTGTCCTTTTCCTACCTGGACCTCGATCTTCATGTAGATCCAGAGGGACCTCCCAAGGGCTTTGCCCAGTCACCCTTCTCTGCTCTCTGGGAGGGCTCCTGGGAGGGAGGAGGGGTGATTCCCTGAATTCTCTGGACCACACTCTAAAGACTTTCCATAGGAGCCATGAGAGGGGCTAAGGCTAGAGTCCCCTCACAGCCAGGGCTGGCTGTGGCCCTGACCTGTGAGTGCCCAACTTACTGGAGGGGGAAGAGACAGATTTTCCAATGTCCGCCAGCGAGCGGTGGATAGGTTTCTTAGTCTGATGCCGATGTTTTCTCAAGAGGACGTAGCAGACTCTCTCTCTCAGCTCTGGCTTCAGGAGTCCATCTTCTATTTGCTTCTCGACAACATCATCTGATCAGGAAACAAACACCCCCAAGTAGGGCATTGCCCAGTGGGATGAGCCAAGTGGTCTGTGACTCCCTCTTCAACCCCTGAGATATCTTGGAGTGGATGGAGGAAGAAGCATGTAGTAATAAGTTTATCAATTGACTGATCCTCACAACAATCCTGAAAGGTATGAGGTACTAATTATCACCATTTTATAGTTGTGGAAACTGAGGTAGACAGGAGGTAAGTGACTTGCCCAGGGTCACACAGGAAGTATCTGAAGCAAGATTTGAACTCAGAACTTCTTAACATTCTATCCACTGTGCCACCTCACTGAGCTTGTAAGAAGCAGTAATAGCATACTAGATTGTGCTGGGTTCAAGTCTTGCTTGTGACACATACTACATGTATGATCATGGACACATTATTTCTTCTCTCAGTACTTCCAGCACTTCCTGGAGTCTGTTTAGTCATGCACTAGTGAAGGGCATTTCCACACTGGGAGACCCCCCAAAAAAGAAAAAAAGAAATCCCCAAACTTTCAGCCCTTCTTGGGTTGTTTTGGAACCTCTACAGGTCAGCACTGGCCAGAATTTAGATAATGCTGTAGGGTTTACAAAGTACTTTCCTCTCAGCAGTCCTGGGGGGTTGGCAGTGCAAGTATAATACCTATTTCCCAAATGAAGAACAAGGACTAAGAGGGGCGTCACAGAGCTAGCTAAGTTCAGGTGAAGAGCCAGGATCTTAGGGGGAAGTCCAGCGCTTTCCCCACTAGGCTGCCCTGCCTCATCACATCTGCAGGGTTGGTTTCAAATCTGGGCAACTCTTTTTTTTTTTTTTTGGTGAGACTTTGGTAACTGGGAATCCATCCAGAGCCAGAGCTGGGCCATCATGCAGCTGGGGGAACCCTGAGTTTGGAGTCCACCACTCTCTGGGATGCCAGCCCCACCAGAATCAGCTGCAGGAGCCTGAGACATTGAGCAACAGGAAGGAAGACTCGGAAGGGTAAATATCACTTCTATCTTTAAGTAGTCCAGAAGATGTCACGTGGAAGAAGGATTAGCTAACCTTGTTCTCTTCGGCTTCAGAGGGCAAAAGGAGAAGCAGAAAGGAAAACTCGGGTTGAATACATGGAATATACTTAGATACACCTGCTGATTAATGGAATCTGCTAGTGAGTTTTCATCACCATTGCCAAATTTCAGAGCCGTAATTAGGGTGGGGAAGCTGGAGCTTTGCCTCGGGCACTGAAAATTGGAGGGTGCAAAATTTCAAAATAATGATTTCAATAGATTGTGTAATTTTCAAATTTGTTACATTTACATTTTGACAGCATGCTCACTCCCCTTTAGGAGTATAGACGCATGTTAGCTAAATTAATTCAGTTAGGAAGTCACCACATGTTGCGTTCTGTCTAATCCACCTTCCAGGCCACATATCAGATGAGCTCCTCCCTAACCTGGCCAAATCTGCTCCTCTGGGCTAGCAGCCTCAACAGAAGTCTTGAGGTATCTCATGGTCTCCCTCCATTGTGTCAGGGCTGGGGGTCTCCTCCTTTCTTCAGGGAAGTCTATGTCCCAGGAAATCCTCCCCCACAGGTGAACTGAGGGTATATTTATTTAGAACCACAAACTATTTGGTGCTGATTGCCCCTGGCACCGAAACTCTAACCTATAACCCATCAGATTCAGTTTCCTTCACCAGAGGCAATGCAGACTCAGTGAGGTAGGAAGGTTTATCACAACTTCCTTCAAGAGAGGGGAAGTGACCAGTCCCACAATCACATGAGCAAAGAGATCCCCTCATACCTATGATCTGTGGTAAGGAGCAGCCATCTAAGTCCAGAAGCACAGTACCAGTCTGGAGGCAGGTTCGGAGTTCAAACAAGCTATGCAGAGATAATGTCGATACATGGGGCTTACTCCATCGCTCACCTCCTTCTTCAACCTTCTCTTCAAACTTTACCCACCTAGGAAGGGAGAAGGAGGAAATTCAGTTTGGGCAGGGCTGGGATTTGGGGCAAGTGATGTGAAAGCAATGGACGTTGTCTGGGTGGGCTCCATGTTCTGGGGTCAAAGGCAAGGGAGTAGTCAGGGGTTCCTCACACCTCTTCTATCTCTGAAAGATATCTGCAAAGGTCCTGAAGCCAAAAAAAAATGTCACAAACTTGGTCCCCAAGGCTGGTCTTGCTCAGAGTATATGACACATTTATTAAACACATGTGACAAACAACTGTGCTAACATAAGCAAGACCGTTCTGCCCTCAAGGAACTTACATTCTAATGGGGAAGAAAATACCTTAAGGGAGCTGGGAAGTGGGAGTGGTGTCTATCTCTCCAGCAGAGTTGGTGTCTGCCCACCTCTACTGTCTGTGACTTGAAGGATGCTGGGAAAGACTTGAGAACATCTTCGCCATAGATCCCCCCATCGGGTCTCAAATTTACAAATTAATGGTCCTCTGGGCTGAGGAATTGAAGCCCCCCCCCGATAAATGTGACCTGGGAGGGGACAGGCATTAAGCCAGGGATCCCTAAATACTCTTTTTTTGGTGGTGGTGGGCGACTACTTTTAATTTTCTTGGAGTCTGGAGATCATCGGTGCCTGAGGGAGACAAAATTACAACTGAGGGTACAATGTAGGCGGTTGCTTGGGGTGCAACAGAAAGGAAGGAACAACTAGGGATACTTTTGAATGACTTTTAATTCCTGCACATATTATTAGGAACTGGATTACTTACTATGACTTATAGTCATTTCAAGTCATCTATATAACAAGAAAGATGGAAACCTTCTGGGGGAAAAGGTCTCACCTTAGACACACACTAGCTGTGTGACTCTGGGTGAGGTAGTTTCCCTCTTTGGGCCATAATCTTCATCTGTAAAGTGAGACTTTTAGACCCACTGGCCTTGAAGGTCTCTTGACACAGAAGGCCAGTGAGAGCTCAGCTTCCGAGCTTTATCTATACTCAAACATTTGTAAACACTCCTATCCCTTATTTGGTGAAGAATTCACCCCTGGGCCATAGCCACAAAAGGTGCCCCATCTCCTCCCCTCCCCCTTTTTTGTGGTCTGATTTTTTAGTATTCAGGTCATGCATCCATTTTGCATTTATGTGGGGTAAAGGGCTGGTCTAAACTTATCCTCCATCTGACTACTTTCCTGTGTTCACAGAAATTCTTATCAGATAAGGAGCTCATTCCTACCTAATTTATGTTTTCAAGTTTATCAAACTCTGAGTTATTGAGTTTAATGCTTCCTAATTTTTGTCTCGTCTTTTCTCTATTGATCATCTTTTCTAATTTTTAACCAGGATTAAATAGTTTTCATGATCCCAACTTTATAACAAAGGTGTTAGTCTGGAAGGGTTATTCTGTGGGAGTTATTTATTTTTAATGTAACAGACACCAGAAGGTCAGGGGCCACATCTAAAGCACCCCTTTCATTTTGTTTTTCCTGGAAATTGAAAATGCAACGTCACATGCCTTTAAAACCAAGAACATGAAACCTAACATTTTATTCAGTACTACCAATTAAGTGGAAATAGTCAGTCAGTCAGTCAGTCAATAAACATTTATTAAGTGCTTGCTACTTGCCAGGCACTGGGCTAAGCACTGGAGGTACAAGTATGGGAAGGAAAAAAAAGAGAGAGAAAGAGAGGGAAAGAGAAAAAGATAGAGAAATGGATAGATAGTATAGAGAGCCACGCATAAAAGAAGGGAATGAGACAGAGAAGAAACAGAAAGAAAAGGAGCTCAAAGCAATTTGAAATGAAGAATTCTTGTTTATACCTCTTGTTTGTTTAGTATCATTATTTATGGTAATCAAAGATCATCACCACAGACCTTAGAAATGGAGATTAGAGCTCAGACCACTGCTCATTTTTTCCCAATTAAAAATAATATTTAAACACTCTGAACTTAACAAACATGAAAAGGGAGGACACATGTAAGAGTGTTAAGAAAAAGAGGGTTATACCTGACATTTGGTTTCCTTTATGTACAATTTACTTAAAAAAATCTATATTTACAGATTCAACATGTCACTTTTAGAGCTATGCTTCTGTTTTTTCTTAGATCTTCAGAACAAGGATGGACAACTTCCCAACAGCCAGGTTCCTATTAATGTGAATAACAATTTCCTGTAATGGCCACATTGCCTTTCTGTAGGGGAAGGAGTTAAAAGGTAGCTCTGAGGGGCCCTATCTCAACTCTTTGAATAACAAGTTCGGGAAGATCAATGAGCAGAAAAACATGCCTGGCACAGAGCTCACATTTAATCAGTGATTATCAATGGATTGATTTCAAGTTTGAACTTTTGCTAGTCTTTCCACAGGAGCCAATGTTCACATGGCAACACAGGCTTAGCTACTAGAGCTATGAAGATACTTGACTGTCTTGCTGACTGGTCATAGGTCCCTTGCAAATCTTTGCATTGTAATATTATTTTACATCTTTTGAAGAAGATACTTTAGAGGAGAGTGGTAGCAAACTAAAATGGAAATAGATTCCTCTGGCCACATATTGACTTAGAAAACCACAAATTAACATCATCTATGTTTTGTTGTATTACTTCTTTTGTTAGACATTTTCCAATTATGTTTTAATCTGGTTTGAAGCCAGTTTGACCCCCCTGATTTAAACCTCAGCTTATCCAAGTTTAGGAAGCTCTAGCTTCAGCTGGGTCTACAGAAAGTCTTTCCAAGAAAGAGACTGAAGCTCATTCCCTCCTATTGGAATTAATCAACAAACAACCATTTGTTAAAATCTTGCTGCGTGCAGATTGCTGTGTTGGAGACCTTAGGTGTAGATAAAGCATGCCAATGTGGAGCTTATTTTATTTTTATTGTTTTTTGGAGGCAATCGGGGCTAAGTGACTTGCCCAGGGTCACACAGCTAGTAAGTGTCTGAGGTTGGATTTGAACTCAGGTCCTTTTGACTCCAGGGTTGATGCTCTATCCCCTGCACCACTTAGTTGCCCCCATTGTGGAGCTTATGGTCCAGCAGAGGGCTAAGAGTCAAACTCAGATTGCTCTAGTATATGATAATATGTAATACACCTATAATCTATATGAGGAATGGGGGAAGACTAGGGAAGTCTTCATGGAGAAAGTGGCATTTGAGTTCACTTTAAAAGGTAACGAAGAAGGAGAGGAAAACAAGACATAAATAACAATGTGGATAAAGGAAGAAGGGCACAGTCCATACTGGGTGCCAGAGAATAATGCATTTTGGCTGATGGCCAGAGAGTGTAATAAGAGATAAAACTGGGAAGGTAGGAAAATGTTGGGTGCAGAAACCAAATGGCAGTGAATGGGAAAGGAAACGTGTGGTGCTGAAGAGGTGGCCAAGGTGGGCAGCCAGGAGTTTAAGAGCTAAAGGGAAGAAAGATGTAGGACACTAGCTTGAGGAGACAGAAGGGTTTCTGCGTCCACCCCCACTCCACCTCACCCCAAGGAACAGAGGATTGCTAAGTATGCTGGCAAGCTGCCAGCTGAGAGGGAGAAATTGAAGATGAAAGAGGGAAAGACTGATGGCCAAGCTTTGGGCTGAGATGGGTGGGGAAGGGATGAAGAATGTGAGTAGCAGAATTATCCTCATCAAGGAGAAGGGCTACTGCCTCCTTGGAGGTTGGAGCAAAGGAGGAGAGGATGGGGGGGGTGATACAGGGTTACTTTTGAGGTGTGGAGTAGGGGAGATGAGGAGCTTTAGGACTGGGCCCAACTGAGCATGTTTGTAGGAAAATGCCTGAAGATGCATTGGGGGCCAAGTGGGTGGGTTACTGCTGGAAAAAGGTCCTAGAGAAGATGCTAGAGAACTAGGATCTCATCTCCCCTCTGAGCCTGGAAGTGCTGCAACATCCCAATCTCATCGCACCAGTTTCCTCTGCTTTTGAGTTCTCTTCAGCAGAATGAAGGGCAAAAGCCCCCTTTGGCACCTATTTCTCTCATGGCTCCCCTCGATGCCTCCTCCTGTGCTATGGGTGGAAGTTAAGCACAACCATGTTTGTCCCTCCCCCAAATCCTGATCTCTACAAAGCTACTGTCAAACCCACTGGATAGTCAGTGAAAACCCACGGATGCCAGACAAAAGAAGAAAAGCAGCTGGGGATTCTCATCACCTGACAACCTTCCTTCACCCTCTACCCGGTAAATGAAGGCTAGCTTGTAAGAAGCAACATCAAGCTCCCTGTCCCTGCTTGGGTGATGCCCAAGAGGCATGATTTGAACCCATGCCTATACAAACCTTATACAAAATTTTCCTGGTATGCAGGAGAAGCAATTTTGTATAGTGAGAGTGATTGTGCTGAACCTGACATCACAAAGCTGGGAAACAACTCTACATTGACAGCTCATTATTTTTTGGACAGAATCAATCCCTAGGAAGGGGGCCTCTAGGTGACGCCATAGTGCACAGAGCACTGGGTCTAGAGTCAGGAAGACTCTTTTTTGAGTTCAAATCTAGTCTATGACACTTACTAGTTGTGTGACCCTGGACAAGCCACTCAGCCCTGTTTACTTCAGTTTCCTCATCTGTAAAATGAGCTGGAGGAGGAAATAGCAAACTATTCTAGTGTCTTTGCCAAGAAAACCCCAAATGGGGTCACAAAGAGTCAGATGCGACTGAAAGGACTCAACAACTACCGTGGTCTATTAGATGGAGCACTAGCTATATACTCAGGAAGAGTCTCTTCCTCTTCTTCTTCGCAATTCTACCCACCTCAGCCTCCAGCCCAGCCCTAGTCTCTGCCACCATGAAGCTGTCCCTGACAATTTTGACTCAACATTGTTCTCTCTCTACTGTGACCCTTGTAATCTATACCACACAATTTAACTTAATTTACATATCATCTTGGGAAATAGTGTGGCCTCATGGATAGAGAACTGACCCCAGAGCCAGTAAGATCTGGGCTTGTGTGCTGCCTCTGACACATATTTGATCTGATCCTCTCTCGTCTTCTTTGGAGATCGCT